CTTCCGCGTACAACCTCTGTGTGGAATAATTTACCACCGGTGATTTTTCCGGACCGATACGACCTGGGGACCTTCAAGAAAAGAACTTACTCCTTTCTAAAGGGCCGGCAACGCACCTGCAATTCCCCTGGTGTTGCGGTTGATCATGGGCGGTGGTAGTCACTTAACATCAGGTGAGCCACATGCTCGTTTGCCCCCTCTTCTATAAAAAAAAAAAAAAAAAAAAAACTAAGAGGATACTACACTAGTAGCACCGCAAATAATAAAGTTGTAAGTAGCGCGTCGAACGTGGTTGTGGAAGGTTGCGCCACTCGTTGGCCCAGGACGAAATTATGAAGTTAATTATATATGTGACTCCCTTGGTTTTGTGTCGTGATCGTTGATTACCAAGACCACGTTTATAAATGTAATTTGAGTTTTAAAGATTTGTTGCCAGGTGTTAATGGAACAGCTTTAGTGATCATTATTTATTTATTTAATTGTTATTATTTAAAACGTATAGTTTTTATCAGAATCGATAAAAACATCCTACTTTTTGATTCCATTGTCATCAATCCAATTGGATTCTCTGTCTATGGACTCAATAGAAAGGTGTGCTTATTGGTAACAACAATGTGGTTAGAACTAATCTTACCAGTCTTGAGAACAAGCGCAAATTAGCCAGATTTTGTGTTTTATGGAATATATTGCGAAAAGTGTGCACGGGAATAACATGACTTTTAATCCCTCTCAAATTCATCACTGCATCAATAGACGCCCAGCTCTCTCAATTCTTTTGTTGTTGGTATACCGCGCATGTTCTTTAAATTTATAAAAAATAATATAATAAAAAAAAGCTTAGAGTTCATTAAAAAGTTTTCTAAACGTAGGTTATATAAATATCTAAACAACATAATATTCGAATCTAATAATATAATGTGAATGAAGGTAGAAATAAAAGAAAATACAAAGTATCTTAGTCAAATTATCTTAACAGCGGTAGAGCCACGCGGCAGCATTTGTCTTCAGACTTCATTCAAACCTTAACGCCGTGCACTACTATCTGGAAACAGCGAAGCCGGCCTTGCTCTTTCTAACCGAGACACAGGTCTCCGGCTGATGCTTCGTATCTCTCCTACACGGGGTACAAATTAGAACACTCTTTTGTGCCCGGGCTGGAGTTTGCGTGTACGTCAGAGAGGACATCTGTTTCCGACGCCTCGGCAGCCTTGAAGGTACGGACCTGTCCATCTTATGGCTGCGCGTAGACAGCGACGACCATTTCCGCGTCTACGGGTGCCTCTATAGGTCCCATAGCGGTAATGCCGAAACAGACCGACTCATGGACCACGTCCAGATGGCTACACACTCCGTGTAACAACAGATACCATCCGCAGAGATCGTGATACTTGGAGATTTTGACGCCCAACACGCTGAATGGCTTGGTTCTCGCTTAACCGATCATGCGGGTAGATCTGTTTATGACTTTTCTTTGGCATATGGTCTGACACAACTGGTTACCACGCCGTACCGTTCCTGTTGGACCTTCTACTGACCTCTCATCCGGACGGATATCAGGTAGCCGTCGATGCACCTCTTGGCTTCTCGGACCATTGCCTGATCTGGAGTACGGTGCAACTAACGCATTCATCGCGGTTGCGAAGTGCAAGTTTCCGCCGTGTTTGGCATTATAGGCCAGCAGACTGGGACGGGATGCGATCTTTTTTTGCAACCTACCCTTTGGGGTGGGTTTGCTTCTCGTCGGATGATCCCAGCGTTGTTGCTGATTCTGTTGCTGATGTGGTGGTACAGGAAATGGAACTTTTTCGGGAAGTACCTCCTCCAGTCTCAAAAGTGTTATTGTCAAGGCAAAGTCAGAGCACATCGGCAAAATTGTCGAGAAACTAGTTCGTCTTCCTTCGGGATCACTTGCATTCTGGTCTCTCGCCAAGACTGTCCAAGGGAACTTCTGTCAGCCATCTCTCCCATCTCTGCACAGGGAGGACGACTCACTGGCTCATGCCGTAAAGGACAAAGCCGATCTGCTGGGCTCTCTCTTTGCGTCCAACTTGACTTTTGATGACGGGGGAACACACCGCCGACCATCCCGCGGAGTGAGCGCTCCATGCAGGATATCCTGTTTACCCAACGCTCAGTGCGCAGAGCACTTCTATTCCTGGACGTCAACAAGTCGAGTGGGCTAAATGGCATCCCTCCTATTGTGCTAAAGACGTGTGCTCCGGAGTTGGCACTGGTTTTAACTTTTTTTCCGTTACTCCTACTTCTTCGGCGTAGTCCCGAAATCATAGAAGACAGCCCTCGTGCACCCGATCCCTAAAAAAGTAATCGCTCTGATCCGTCCAACCATAGGCCTATCGCCATCACCTCCTTGTTCTCTAAAATAAAGGAATCCATTATTAACAGCCAGCTCATGCGGTACCTTGAAGATCACCAGCTGATTAGTGACCGCCAGTATGGTTTCCGTCGCGGTCGCTCGGCTAGTAATCTTCTGGGTTACCTAACTCATAAATGGGCGGAGGTAGTAGAGTCCAAGGGGGAGGCGTTAGCCGTTTGTTTGGACATTTAGCTAGGCCTACGATCAGGTTTAGTACAAAGCGCTTCTTACGAAGCTTCCTTCCTATGGGCTTCCCGAGAAATTGTGCAATTGGATCACCAGTTTTCTTGCTGATTGGAGCATCAAGGTTGTCGTAGACGGTGCATACTCAGATTACAAGCCCAATAACGCTGGTGTTCCACAAGGCTACGTGCTATCACCGACGCTGTTTCTTCTGACTAATAACATGTTGCAAACCGGTAACATTCATTGCTATGCAGACGACAGCACCGGTGATGCTTTATACACCGGCCGTGCCAATATTTTGCGGGAAAACGTCACAGAGTACCGAGATAAACTTGTGTCTGAAGTCGAAACTTTGTTGAACAAATTCTCGGACTGGGGGCGACTAAATCTAGTCCAGTTTAAAACCCCCTTATTCGTATCTCCTCAGTTGCAAGGCACTCTCCATGTTGCCTCAGCCAATATTAGAATCCTCGGAGTTGACATATCGAGTGGCGTGCAGTTTCGTAGTCACTTGGAAGAGAAGGCCAAATTGGTCTCCAAAAAGCTTGGCGTGCTCAGCAGAGCGGGACAATATTTCATACCGGCTCACCACCTGCAACTTTACAAGGCGCAGGTTTGGCCGCACATGGAATACTGTTACCATCTCTGGGCCGGGGCTCCCCAGTGCCAGCTTCTTCCATTTGATCGCATCCAGCGAAGAGCTGTTTGAATCGTCGGCGACCAAGCTCTTTCCGATAGGCTTGACTCACTGGTACTGCGAAGAGATGTTGTATCTTCGCACATCGCGACAAAACTCATGATATCATCCATACCATCTGGCTGTCTGGCGGTCCACCACCGTGCGATTTAAAAGAAGTTTTCTTCCTCGCACAACTTCCTTGTGGAATCGACTACCACTAGAGATTTTTTCAGACCGATACTACTTCTTTTTAAAAGAGTCTACTCCTTTTTAAAAGGCCGGCAACGAATCTGCAATTCCCCTGGTGTTGCAGTTGGTCATGGGCGGCGTTGATAACTTACCATCAGGTGAGCCGTATGCTTGTTTATCTCTTATAAAAAAACCAGAGGAGTAAAGATAAAAATCTAATCCCCCACTCGTTCAAACACCATAAAGTACTGCGCAGGCAACCGAGAGCAATCAAAAATTCTACAAGTCGTAATTACGTCGTGATTATGCCCGTTGTAGTTATACCTTTGCTAAATCTAAAGAAAGTTAAATTGCGGAGACGCTATCATACTTCATGTTATCTTTTATTTACTTTTAACTGACAACAGTGTTCCATGTTTCTGTCAACAACAGTCTGGCATTTTTTGCGGAGAGAAATCTGCGCACAAAAAACAATCCTTTATCACTATAAAAGTCCCACATAACAAGTGGTGTTCGGAATACATTTGACCCCATTAGAGTGATTTGCCGTAAGTTTTTAATGTTCTTTCACCCATATCTTAAGAGGAGCAGAGGCCTCTTCTTTTCTTCAATATTAAATATCATGGATTTTTCGTCGTCAAAATGTCCAATAAAAAAATGTCCCTTATCCTATTACATCATGCAAAACATGACGATATATCGATATTTATCATATTGATACTGTTTAAATATATCGATACAATAAATATCGATACTTATTTCACCTGTTCATCCCTATGACTGAGTAAAGGCGTAAAATCGGACTTGAGTCCGTTTCACGAAAGAAGTCCCTTAGTCGCGGCTTTGCAGTCTTTGCAAAGATTGACATCAGGTGTCACATTCCATATATAAAATTTTATTTTGTACATTTTCCGCGGGACTCCTCTTGTGAAACGGACTCTAGTTCAACGCCCACCTTTATTTCAGGGCCCTGATTCAGGGTAGTGTAATAGGGACATAAATCACATAAGTAATTTTTAATTTAATCCAATACGTAGTGTATATATAGTCTTTGAATCACAGAACAGAATGACATTGACAGAGTTTTGGCGGGAACTTGATTGTCGACGGATTGTTGCTTGAATAATGGTTTGAAGTGGTTTTTGATTCGTAAAAGTGATGCAATTTTTGAATTCATTGTCTGCGCGTGTAAACTATTAGAGAAAACGACGAAATAAGTGCTTTAATGTTGATATAAACCTCAAGTTAATTTGATCGCTTTCCGCTGGGTTGAGCTGTCGTCAAAATCTCCCAAAAACTTCGCAATGTGACGCATAAGCGTATTGTGAGCATAAAATATATAAAATGAAGTTTCTGAAAGAAATGACGCTGCTCAGAAGGGCTTGAAACCAGAGCCGTAAAGCTAGTTAAATAAAAAAAAAATGACATTGACAGTTGACATTTGACAGTCTGTTTCCAAAACAAATAAATAAATCTATAGTAATTATTTAAAATTAGACGCATTTCTATTTATTTTGAATACTGCATAAAAATAATAGAATTTAATTGATTAAATTTGATTTTGAACCCGAAATGAGTTCACTTCAAGAGAGGTTGCAGTTAAAACGGGTTCCTTTGGATACGTGGAATATAAGGGAACAGCTATGCCTAGCGTCGGCTGTAGTAAGGAGTGGAGATCAGAATTGGATGTCGGTATCTCGGGCCTTAAAAACCGTCGGCGAACCAAGTAGGCCCCCGGATTGGTACTCCCAGAAGAGGTATTTGGACTTACATCTTGTAATTACACTTATCATGCAATAATATTATTACAAAAAGCGGCTACAGTAGACACGCGGTAATCCGACTAACATTTTGCAAAGTGGTGTCGGATTATCGGACTATAGAGTACTGCCCCAGCCCCCTGGTAGTCCAAAGTTTTTCCAAAAAGAGTATCTTGTAATCTGACATTAAATATAAAATAATAAAAAATCAAAATGTCATGTGATGCACAATGAATACCTAAACAGTAAATAATGAATGCCTGCTGGGCCACTACCATAGTCACATTTGAACTGAGATATTATAACCTGCCTGAACTAATTTCAACCTGTTGTCCACATATTTGCGAAGGGCACCTCTCATCATGGCGGATTCATAGCACAACTCGAATCTACCTACTAGTTAAGTTTGTGTCGGATTACAAGGGGGGACCGATTAGCCAGGGGCCGGATTAGTGGGGGTCCACTGTATGTCATACACCAGATAGATCTCGTGGCTTCCGAGGGACAGCCTATCAATAGAACACTGCTGATTATAGACCTATATAGGAGGCTAAATGTATTATGCCAAAATACTGACCGGTGATGGAGAGCAGCCTCAAAGGTGTGAAACTTCTGGTACTACAATATTTTTTCACATAAGAAGGGGCAACATTAATGCTAGTCATCAGATAGTAAATAACTAGTGCCACCCATGAAAAACTAAAACACCTGGTAAATTATTGTCATGACCATTACCATTTGTGTATGATTAGGCATATTCTCTCTTCATGAAATAAGCTCATATCCAGCACCATAATATTGTTACAGACTGATAAAGTAAAGGATACAATAAAATTATAGCACACCAGTGTAGTAAATAAAATATGCACACTATTGCAATTGTCCAGTACAGGTTTACATTACTGTGACGATGAATATCTTATAAAAATGGTCTGAGATATTTTAGTGAATCAATTTGGTATATTGATCAAAATGATATGACGACACCCCAGGGAATACTATATTAACATGGGATATTCTTACACTGTCATAGGCTCTTAATTTAAATTTAGTTTGTTTTCAACCAACTTCAAAAAGGGGGAGGTAATCAATTCGACTGTATTTTTTTATGTGTGTTACCTCAGAACATTTTTCTAGGTGAACCGATTTTGTTGATACTTTATACGAAATCTGGTGCTTTTCAAGTGGCCCCATATAAATTTAAATTGAAAAATTTATCAAGATCTGACTAGTAGTTTTTGAGTTATCCTTAACAATGCATATTTTATTGACTTCCACTACTTTGATGACATTTTCATTTTATTAACATTGAAGTCAGTTGTAGAAATTTTAAATTTTACCACTTATCAGTCCTTACGGGGAAGTTTTACCTATATTTGGTGCATATTTTTCACTGCTTTCTCAGATATTGCTGAAGCAAGTTCTACGATTATTTTTTAGGATTCCGTAGTGACAAAACAAGAAACTCTTATAGTTTCTCCATGTCCATCCATTCATCTGCGTTTTTACTCAAAGACTCTAGGTGGTACAAATCTGTAATTTGACGTAGTTGATAATAATCACGCCTACAAAACTATAAAATGTAATCTTAAATTTTTTTATTTTGTGTACCTGCCGTACAGGAAAATTGAGGATATTTTTTTACCCCCTTTTTATTGTAAAAAACTTTGATTGTGAAATATTTAGCTTTGAAGTGGTATTTTTCTGTTTTTAGAAATGTGAAAAGTATATATGATAGTAGTATATATAATGAAGTTTAAAAGAAAATTATATAGTATTTTTATACTTTCGCGGTCCCTTCGTTTTTTGGCCCTAGAAAATCGAAAAATCATCGGATTTCGATGATTTTTTTTAAATCTTCGTTTTTATGGCGGATTTATGAAAAAAATATGGAAAATATCTCACCTGAAGATTTCATATAGTTTTATGACTTTAAATGTGATCATAAATGCACTTCTTCGAATATAATCGTTTATAACTTATTTGCAAAGCATTAAACGAAGTTTATATAATTATTATTACATTGAAAAATGTTTGTTTATTGATTTTTTATCTTAAAGTTTTCATATGGTATTCTGACTTTAAATGTTATCATAAACGCTCTAGAAAATCGAAATAATTATAACAGTTAATATTTTGGTGTTTTATTGAGTGTACGATCGAACAAAGCGAGCTCAGGCCTTGGGGCATCCCGACTCGAACAGGCTAGGTTAGGAGGAGATAGCGGGGTCGAGTAAGCGAGCGAATAAACCCCGCCATCTCCTTCGTGGTTATTTTTTAATAAACCACTCAGAAGTAGGAGCCCAGCTAACCGGGGCTCCGTCGACCGGGCTTCCCTCGACTGCGCTACGGGAGAGAGTTGGGGGAAGGAAGCACCACGTAACACAAACTCCCCTCTCACTGCCCCTGCAGCCAAAGGTGTCCATGACAATTTCCCCACGAAAAAAAAAGAAGAAGATGATTTCTTCTAACCTAACCTGTCCGAGTCGGGATGCACTAAGTCCTGAGCCCGCTTCGCTAGATCTTACACTCAATAAAACACCAAAATAAAAATTTTATAAACAAACGTCTTTCAATGTTGCTTTTTTTAAATGTTCATTTTTTGTATAGATTATAAAAAAATATAACAACTTTATTCGATTATTTGTAATAAAGTTATCAACAATTATACGTGAATGAGTGCATTTTCATGAATATTTAAAGCCCTGGAACCAATATGAGTTTTATTGTTTTATTCCTGTAATATTTTTCGTAAATCCGCCGTAAAAACGAAGATTTAAAAAAATCATCATCGAAATCGGATGATTTTTCGATTTTCTAGAGCCAAAAAAGAAGGGGACCGGGATGGTATAAAATTACTGAAAACTATCACTAAATAGAATTAACCAGTTAACGAATTACCACCGATTACAATATAAATTAAATGAGAACATCGTCAATGTAGTTGAAGTCAATTAAATACACGTTATTAAGGATAACTCAAAAACTACTGGTCAGATCTTGATCAAATTTATGTGGGACCACATGAGAAGCACCAGCTTTCAAATAAAAAAGAAGAAATATCAAAATCGGTTCATCCAGAAAAAAGTTCTGAGGTAACACATAAAAAAAACATACAGTTGAATTGGGTACCTCCTTTTTGAAGTTGTTGGAAAAAGTAAACACCAACTACAAAGAATAATAAAATCGGTCAAGTGCGAGTCGGACTCGCGCATGAATGGTCCCGTACCATCGTAAAAACATTTTTCTAGTAAAGTAGCACCTTTTAATTTGTTTTTATTATTTGTTCTTATAGCGGTAACAAAAATATATATTCTGTGAAAATTTCAATTATCTATCTATTAGGGATCATGAGATAAAGTCCGCTGATGGAAAGACGGATGGACGGACAGCAGAGGCTTTGTAATAGGGTCCTGTTGGTTACCCTTTCGCTACGTAACCCTAAAAAGGAATAAAATAGTATCCACATAATCGATAAGTTGAAGCTTAAATTTTTCTTAGCACCCACTTACAAAGCCATTAAATCATGTATAAATTATTTCATTATTTTGAGTTTTTCATTATCGCCTTTTACTTTCTTAATGATTTCATTTTCTTTTAGCGTTAAAAATGTGGAAGGTCAATTATTATTCATCAACTTCATCATCATGACAGCCCTACACAAGTCCACTGGTGAACATAGTCCTCCCATAAGGAATGCCACAAAGGACGGTTCTGATTCCACCTGCATCCTTCAACTACCTGCACATCTTAACAGGTCGTCACTCCATCTAGTGAGGAGTCGCCCTACACTACCCCTACCGGTTCGAGGTTGCCACTCGAGAGAGAGAGGTTGTCGGTTCTTCGAGCTATATGGCCGGCCCATTGCTACTTTAACTTACTAATCCATTGGGCTATGTCGGTCACTCTGGTTATACTCAATGATTATTAATGTTATTTAAATAATTGAACCTACAGTACTTAGATTTGTAATTAATAGGCACCATGCTATCATTGTAATAATGTAAAATTAAGTTAAATACTGTTTTAGCTGTGCAGCTCAATATGGGGCGCTACTGGAGCATGTGGAGACCCCAAAGCGCAAGAAACGAAGCTCGGAAGGCGCTGTGGAGACACCGCAAGAGAGTATCTTGAAACGACTCACCCAAGAACGTGTAGTAGAGATTCAGAAAAATATTGCTGAAATGAATCAGCAGTACGAACAGTTGCAGGTAACGATGATGGCATCTTTTCAACAAATGCAACATCCACTGGAAACTATTACTTGATAGAGCTACACTTGTGAATGATAGTTTGTGTCAGACTAAAGCTTAGGTCAAAAAAGACCTCACATTTGGCTTTCGGCTAAGATGGCGAAAGTTCTTTGTTATTATGTCAGTTGTATTAGTAGTATAGTTGTAGCAAATAATGGGACGATGGTTCGACCAGGGAAGGGCCACGGTCTCACAGAATACCAGCATAAAACAGCAGTTTAATGCTGTTGTGTTGCATATGGTGAGTGTAGAGATCCGGAGACCCTTTTTACTGGAAATGAGGCATCCCATCTTAGTCCTCAGGGGTGACAAGACATCTGTGTTTTGTTTCATAATCGAGGATAGATGTAGATGTCTATGGGCCACAGCAACCACTTACCATCAGGTTGACCGTGTGCTTGTTTGTCACACCATCTTATTAAAAAAATTATTTATTGTTAGGACATCGGCGTGCTGCGAGAGAGTTCACACAGGGTGGGATCGATTAACACCAGCGATTTTTCAGAACCGATACAACTTATGGAATTTCAAAAACAGCATCCACTTACCATCAAGTGGACTATGTGCTCGTTTGTTACTCATATTTTATAACAAAAAAAAAACAAAAGACAAAACTTCAAAAGTGAATATTAAATTACCTACATTCTATTTACTTTATTAGTTAACAAGTACCCCCAAATGGAATAACAGTAAATCTTTGAATATGACAACAGTGTTTTGTAATTATTGTTGATTATATATGAATTTATGATCTTCTCTGCTTGCTCTGGAAATGGACTAGTACAGAATTAAGATGAATGCCCTATATCCAAATAAAAAAAATATACATTTTGCCTTAAAACAATTGCCGATTATAAGGCGTTGATCATAACAAACTATTGTTTTTTACTTAGTCCAATAGTTATAAAAAACTTCATTGTTTTAAGTAGATATATAGTAGCGTTGAGATGAGATTTAGTAATACTTAAGTTAAAAGTGATGACTGATGGCCTGATGATCATTTCCTGATGGTAAGTGCATGCCACGGCATGCACTTACCATCAGGTGGACTGTGTGCTCATTTCACACGTCATCATCATTACAGCCCTTCACAAGTCCACTGCTGAACATAGGCCTCCCCCAAGCAATACCACAAAGCACGGTCCTGAGCCACCTGCATCCATTGACTTCCTGCATGTCTTACCAGGTTGTCACTCCAGGGAGAGGGGGGGGCGCCGTACACTTCGCCTACCGGTACGAGGCTGCCACTCGAGAACCTTTTGTCCCCATCGGTTGTCGATTCATCGAGTTATATGGCCGGCCCATTGCCACTTCAGCTTAATAATCCGTTGGGATATGTCAGTTACTCTGGTTCTATTGCGGATATCCTCATTTCTAAGTTTATCATGTAGAGAAAGCCCCACCAGAGGTTTGAATGCAATAAAAAAGTTATATATCTTACAAATTGTTGTGACAGAACGAAATAGCTGAAGTCCGTAATTCAGCTACTTCAGAAGAGCGCTTACAAGAGCTGTGGGCGGGTATAGAAGCGGCGAAACGCGCGAGGGAAAGAGAGAGCGCGCGGCGGGCCGCCTGGTTGAAAGAAAGAGAGGAGAGACGGGCGAGAGCCGAGAAGACATGGAAACCGCCACAGCAAGGCGCTCCGGGATCTGGTGATTATTTTTTAATTTTTGTAATTTTTAAAATAAAAGTGACCAACGAACTGACAGTCCGCCTGATAGTAAGTGGGTGCTGTGGCCCATAGACATCTACATCTATCCTCGATAAAGCATCAAAATGCATTGTCGCCCCTGAGGATTAAGATAGACTTAGACATGTGTCATTGATTCATTTTTAGTGACCCGATCATTCAAGTATTGATTGGTCTTACAAACTGGTTCATTCGGGTCAGTCATTCTAATCGTTCATTTGGAGTTTCAGTACTCTGTGATCTGCAAGTACCGCTCGATAATGTCGGTCGTCGGACATTACTATACTCTTTAGTCGTAGGTCCTGTTAATCGTTTGATTCGGAACGTTTAGAAAATGTAATTGCAATCATCTATACATAGATGCGACCTGGGTCAAATGAACGAATCATGCACGATTGACATATGTCTAGGTGGAATGCGTCGTACTCGTATCCAGTAAAACACCGGCCAAGAGCGTGTCGGGCCACGCTCAGTGTAGGGTTCCGTAGTTTCCCGTCCGTCACAATAAGTGTTCCCACTTATGAGTTTAAAGGTTGGTATCCATTATGTTCGCGCTCCAGCAGCGCTCCGCGCTCCTGCAACTGCTCCCGGTAGTGGGTACTGTTGTTTCCATCCAAGTTCAAAATGATTTTCCTAGAAAGTCCTTATAAAGTTCTACTTTTCAGATTTTTTTCATATTTTCTAAACTTATGGTTCAAAAGTTAGAGGGGGGGGGGCACATTGTTTTTTACTTTTGGAGCGATTATTTCCGAAATTATTGACAATATCAAAAATGATTTTAGTAAACCCCTATTCATTTTTAAATACCTTTCCAACAATATATCACACGTTAAGGTTAAAATTAAAAAAAAAATCACTTCCCACTTTACATATAGGGGGGCTACCCTAATAAAACATTTTTTCCAATTTTTATTTTACCACTTTGTCGGCGTGATTGATACACATTTTGGTATTAAATTTCAGCTTTCTAGTGCTAACGGTCACAGAGATTAAGCGAGGACGGACAGACGGACAGACAGACATGGCGAAACTATAAGGGTTCCTAGTTGACTACGGAACCTAAAAAGGTCTCCCGTTCTCTACACTCACCAAAGACTTAGTCACGTCTGTGACTAAGATAGAATGACTAACAGTCTGTAATTATCTGGTTCCCTTTACCCTTCAGACCGTAGTGGTACAAGCAACACTGCTTGGTGGCAGAAGTGGTACCTAACTAGACATTAAAAGCTAGACAAGAAAAAAGACTTACCACCTAGTGATTTCTATTTTTAATATCAACCACTTTCATCTCGCCCCGTGAATTACGTAGTATCTAATGCCCAATTCCCACATTCAAGACACGTTTCGTTATCCATTACGATCCGTTTTATTACATACAAAATGTATGTAAAAGCAGAGTATATTACAAACTATTCATTAAGCAACTTAGGATGACCGAAAATGAAAGTAACTTTATATCTTTCATACCTAATTAATGGAAGTGGTTTTTTTATTTTGGAAAAGCGGTTTCCATGCACTTTATTTACTACAAAACGGTTCGTAATAAAAAAATATTGTAACGTTAGCCGTTAGTCTATTAAAATCCACTGCTTAACTTAGGCCTCCCCCATAGATGGCCCCATAGTTGGGGGGGGGATATTCGATATAGTTACCATGCTTGGTGAGCGGGTTGGCAGCCCCGTTGGAAGACGCTGCTGCCAGTAGCGGATTATCGTAAATGCAAACTAGGCACCTGCTTAGAGACACAAGGTTACAAAGGGGCGCGCGGGGAAATAAGTTCCACAGTATGGTGGTGCGAGAAAAACGGTTCCGCATAAAGGGCACCGTAGTGGACCGTCAGCCATCGAGATGATTAGGATGGAATGAGTTCTGTTGCAGTGTAAGATGGTATAATTCAGCAGCTGAAAATAATCCGAGCTATTCTTCTGAGCACTAATCTAAAGATTTGGAAGAAGAACTTTGTGCCAAATCCAATCCAAGGCCTTCGCTATGTCCAAATTAAACAGCGCCAGGGCTTTCCATTTGGTCACGACTGCTTCCGCCCATTGGTGAGCCAGGTAGACGAGAAGATCACCAGCTGAGGGGCCTCGACGAAAATCGTATTGACGGTCACTAATCAGCTGATGCTCTTCAAGGTGGGTTCCTCCTGAGCTGGCAGTTAATAATGGATTCCATTATTTTGGAGAAAAAAGAGGTGATGGTGATAGGCCTGTAGTTGGACGGGTCAGATCAGTTACGTTTTTTAGAAATCGGGTGCACTAAGGCTGTCTTTTGTGAGTTTAAAACGACGCCCATAGAGTAAGAGAACCGGAAAAAACGCGTAAGAACCGTAGCTAACTCTGGAGCACACGTCATCAGCACCATTGGAGAGATTCCTTCAGGCCGACTCCACTTGCGGACGTCCAGAAACAGTAGTGTTTTACGCACTAAGCACCATGTGAACCGCGAACGTCGTGCTTTGAGCATTCACACTGCAAAATTGTCGGCGTTAGATTGCCCCGGTTATCAAGAGACAAGTTGGCCGTAAAAAAAGGGAACCTAAAAGATTGGCTTTCTCCTTTGCGGCGAGAGCCAGCGAGTCATCCTCCCTGCGCAGAACTGTTAATGATGGATTGCAGAAATTCTCTTGGGCAATCGTGGCGAGAGAATAGAATGCGCGAGTTCCCCAAGGGTGGAGAACTTGTTTCCCGCCAATTCTCTCAATGTGCTCCGATGTTGCCTTAGCGATAATTTTTTTGAAGGACCTGGAAGCAGAGTTGTACTTCTTTCTGAGTGTGCTAGTTACTTGCATCCCGTGACGCTGATGCCGCGACGTAATTTTGAAGGAGCCAAGGCTGGGATCTGTCGCCGGTAGACATTGACATGATGAGACATGATGACGGGGTGAAAATTTTCATCCTCTGAAGTACCACACCGGCGACTGTCTAAGCACTGATATTGAGATCATCCATCGAGAAGCGAATCCGCCGCCATGCATAAAAAGATTGCATTCTCTCCCAATTCGCTGGCCTATAATGCCACACACGGTGACAGCCTACAAATCAGGCAGTGATCCGAACAGCCAAGACAGGCATAGACGGGGACCTGATTATCTATCGGGATGAGAGTTCACAGCAGAAGGTCCAACATGGAAGGTGCATGACCTTCACATCTATAATCCGTGTGGGCAAAGTGACCACTTGTGTCAGACCATATGCATATGAGGGTTGAAATCCGGAGCATGATCTCTGCGGATGGGGCCAGTTATAGCACGGAATCTGTAGCCATGGACGTGGTTGAAGTGTCGGTCTGTCTCGGCATTATCGCTGTGGGACCTATAAAGGCATCCATTGACACTTGGATGGTCGTTTGTGTCTATGCGTAGCCATGGGATGGACAGGTTTCTGACTTCAAAACTACCGGAGGCGTCGAGAGCAGATATCCTCTCTGACGTACACAAACTCCAGCCCGAGGCAGAAACATTCCAGTTTGTAATCTGTGTAAGATGAATATGATGTATCAGCCAGAGAATAGAAATGCGTCTCAGTGAGAAAGAGAGAAAGAGCAAGGTCGGCTTAGATATCTCGAGATGGTTTCAGACAGCTTTAGGGTTTGAATGAATTCCCCTTATGTTGTATGTACAAACTCTGTGCATAGAGTGGAGTGTGCCCCCCCCCCCCCTGGAATACGTGAGGCAGTCTGAGCATCCACGCCCAGGAGAAAGTTTGGGGATGGATACCCAGTGAGGGATTCTCCAGGATTATTGATGCTGCTATCCTCGTGGGGTAGATTTTTAATTAACACCGCTTTCATGTTTTTTACACTGAACTATCTTATAAAATATAATTTGTATGCAAAATACGTAGTTATAATTTATAATAAACTTTGACAGGCCTGTTGGTCTAGTGGTTAGTGACCCTGACTGCTATGCCGGAGGTCGTGGGTTCGATTCCCACCCAGGACAAATGTTTGTGTGATGAGCACGATCATTTGTTCTGTGTCTGGGTGTAATTTATCTATAATATTTATGTATTTAGAAATATATAAGTATGTTTATCAGTTGTCTAGTACCCATAACACAAGCTCTGCTTAGCTTGGGACTAGATGGCGTTGTGTGATAGTTGTGGAATATTATTATTATATTATTATCCGAGGAGGAACGCCGATGTGGTGCTGGACTGGGGCGCTGTCGCCTCATACACACCCACGAGATGGGTTGATGTGAGTAGTGGATATTCTTACACCGCCTCTGCACGGTAAAAACAAAAAAAATTAGTTGTCTTTAAAGTCGGTTTACGGACTATAGTTTAACGTGACAACGTCGTAACAAAACATTGATGAAACGATTGCATACTTTGTGGAAGAGAGATAGATGTGGCGCAAGCCGAACGCTCAAGCCGATCGTGCCTTTCGCTCGCTCGTGCAGCGCTCTCGCTCCGATCGTAACGTTATAATGAGCGTAACGTTACAATGAGGCATCCTTTTTTGTGCGTACAGCCGGCGTTCATCGTTTTACATATTAGACGTTTTAATGTCAAAAATAATGCGTGCAAATCAAAATCTAAGAGTTTTTTAAATATAAAAACCTGGCGCAAAAGATGATTGTATTCTCATTGACATACCACACTAGTTTTTCCGTGCGAGATTTGAACCTACAACACGCATGTGCGCTACCGATTCGTCAAACGATAGAGCTAATTTGTGTACTTAATAAAATATTTTCTAATATACGTGTTACCGTGCAATTATCAGGTACTCCCGCTCCGCCCTCGTCACCATTACTGACGTCCCTATTGAAGTCCTCGCCGGTGGTCACCACGCCCCAGCACATCCCTCACCCGGCTACTGTAGTGGGTAAGATACTGTTGATTTATTTATAAGACCCACTTGTCGGAAATTTCTTATCCTTAACAACAAATCAATTTTAGAATGAAAAGAATTTGACTACGTAGTTTTCTTCTTCTTTTTCATCGTCTTCCTCCACTTTTTATTCTTTTTCTTTCTTGATTTTTCCATCTCTTCTTCTTGTTCTCCTTCTTCAATTTCTTCTCCTTTTTACATCTTCCTCTTTCTCCACATCTTTTATATTTTTCTTCTATTTCTTTTTCTCTCTCCTCCTCATCTTCTTTCACTTATTCTTACATCTCTTTATTTATTTATTTAACACCTACAAGACATACCTTAACAAAAGCATAATGTTTTTACAAGAAACTATAAATACTAAATGTTGACTTAATTACAGGTGTTAGAAGGAAAAGAATTTGACTACGTTGTTTTCTTCTTCTTTTTCATTATCTTCATCTTTTCTTCATCTTCCTCCACTTCTTATTCTTCTTTCTTGTTTTTTCCATCTCCTCTTCGTGTTCTCCATCTTCAATTTCTTCTCCTTTTTACATCATCCTCTTTCTCCACATCTTTTATATTTTTCTTCTATTTCTTTTTCTCTCTCCTCATCTGAATGAATTTGTAAATCTTTCACTTATTCCTAATTTTCCTATTTTTTCTCAATACGTCTTCCGTTGGTCGGGTTGCGCTTACATACACCTCTTTATTTTATTATTTATTTAACACCAACAAGACACCCTAACAAAAGCATAATATTTTCACAAGAAACTATAAATACTAAATGTTGACTTAATTACAGGTGGTTACACACATTTTATAAAAGATAGACACAAGTATACAAATGTAGTGAATTAAATTGAATACAATTTCTACGCCAATTTCTATTCTAAAACTCTTTTCAAATACAAAGTTTATTTTATCTCGGCATCACCCATAGGTAATCTATCTCACGTAACTCTACCTATATACTTATGTATCGTGTTTATGAAGCTTAAATAAATAGTTATGGTGTAAATGAACGGTGACGGAATTGCGGACTAAAAGGAATTGTCGTTTATGGTGACCTACGTATCTAAGCCTGTTCCGTGCCGTGTGTTTGCAGGGTGAGTGATTCTACTATTATATCATCCCGTAGATGTCCTAAGAGCGACAAAGGGAAACTGGAATAGATGATGGAATATATTTCCGAGAAGCTGTTTAGCAGCTTTTGGTAGACCATAATATATATAAAATATAAGTGGGATCACTATGTCTGGTTCTTTCTTTTTTGTAGTTAATTTGTAGTTATCAAGATCATGCACGAGTGAATTCTAATCGCAATAAATATTTAAGGCCTTATTGCGTTGTAATAAAGACTCTTTTAGTAAATTCAAAAGCCAATCTATCAAAACTTATAACACTAAGCCGAGTGTTATTTAAAATTGTACCTTATTGTTATGCAATAGAGACGATATCGCCATCAGCAGGAGCACCGACGCTGTCGATGCTTCTAGAAAAGCCCCAAGGTGGCACAAGCCCGCACGAGAGCAAGCACGCGGCAATCGAGCATATTAAGAGTCAACTGGTTCAAATCGAGCAGCAACTTAAAGGTAATTACAACTTTATAGCTATTATTGCGCGCCGTAATTTATGCCACTAATGCCATCTAGTATCGAGTAGCAGAACTAGGAGAGCTTTCTAGAGAATTCCATACTAAAAGATTCTACACCTAGTCGGTCGGGACCCGTATGTGCTCGAACATTCTAGATTTTTTTGTGTAAAAGGCCCTATAAATGGCCGGTAAGGATCGCGACCGAGTCAGTATTGAATTGGCGATGCAAGTGAATACTTCGAAGCGATATAACTGCGAATTGGGTTTTATTATTAGTGTGTTTTAAGTTGTAATTGGTGTTCGGTAGTTAAAGTGTCAATTGTGGTAATTCAATCGGCAGTTTTTACCAGTCACGCACACCAAGCTCGTAACACTATTAAAGTAATAGTACCTGGTTGACCGAGCTTTGCTCGGTATTATTCGCTCGATTTTTTTAATTTGTGTGTTTTGGAAATTATATTTAGATACAATTTTTTGGAAATTATATTTACATTACATACTGATGAAATATAAATAATATTTTTTGATCTTAGCGACATAACAGAAAAAGCGGAACTGGTTATTTGAATAAAAAATCATGAGTGCATTTATTTTAATTTAAATTTTCGTGTTTTTAAAAAATACTAAAAAAAAGGGCTCGAAAAAATAGATTTTCTTAAAAAAAAGAAAGGAACTTGAAAAAAAAAAATTAAAAAAAGTCGGTCGGTCGGTCTGGGCTCGAACCGGGGTTTTACGATTCTGTGACCGCCCATTATACCAATTAAGCTATATATAATCATTAACAATCTGTCAAAATTTACCTTCTTATTCTAACGATATTGTAGCAGCTTTTCATTGCCTAAAAACACGGATTCGTCCCTAGCACAAAAAAAGACATTTTCTAAAAATAAATCCTAGCTAGATCGATTTTTTATCCCCGAAACTCCCTGGACACTAAATTTTATGAAAATCGTTGGAGCCATTTCCGAGATCCCGATTATATATATTTATTTATTTATTTATTCAGCCAAACTTATCACTAACATTACAGGATCTAATGACCTAATGCGCTAGTGAAAACAGTAAACATTTTAATTATTATAACATATTATAAATAATGCAGCCCTTGTGAATTCACTCATAGAACATACAAATATGTCAACTTCCTCGTGGATAAGGTTAAGTAGTCTGGTGGCGCGAGTGCGCGGCGCCTCCCGCAGCAAGTTGGTGCGAGCGCGTGGTACCGCCAGCAGCCGCGGCCGTCGCCTTCGCCACACGTATTTTCGCAAAATTACTTTTATTTTTGTGTACGTACATTACATTTTCATAAATGTATTGAGAGGCCAGAGTTAATATATTAATTTCCTTAAACTTTTGTCTCAGTGACTCTTTTGGTTTTAAATTATATATTGCTCTAATGGCCCTCTTCTGTAAAGTAAATATAATTTCAGTGTCAGTCGCGTGTCCCCATAGCAAAATACCATACGACATAATGCTATGGAAATAACTAAAGTAAACTATTCTAGCTGTTTCAACACTGGTAAGAGTTCTAATCTTTTTTCACAGCATATGCTGCAGAACTAAGTCTGCTAGCTAGTTTTGATATATGGGGGAGCCATTGAAGCTTTGCGTCCAGTGTGATTCCAAGAAAAATGGTGGTATCAACAAGACTCAGTTCCCCCCATTTAAAATTACATTAGTATTGACATGTTTAACATTAGGAGTTAAGAATTTATACATTTAGTTTTAGTTTCATTCAAATGCAAATTATTAACATTAAATCAATTGACTAACTTAGCTATAGCATTATTTACTTCGTCGTAATTTAATAACTGTCGTTTTAATTTGAAAATTAATGAAGTATCATCAGCAAATAATACTATATCATGGTTATCCCCTACTATGTAAGGTAAGTCATTAATATATACTAGAAATAGAAAAGGGCCGAGAATTGAGCCCTGAGGCACGCCCATTTGTACAATCGACCCGGAAGAACTTATACTATTAATGACAACTTTTTGCGCTCTGTCACTTAAATATGAAATAATTAATTTAAGAGCATCACTTCTTACACCGTAGTGTTGAAGTTTCCTGATTAATGTTTCACGGTGAACACAATCGAAGGCCTTGGATATATCACAGAATATACCCAAAGCATCCTGTGAATTCTCCCATGCATTAAAGATATAATTAATAAGCTCAACACCAGCATCAGTTGTCGAGCGATCCCTTGTGAAACCGAATTGATTTTTATGAAGTAAATTATTTACATTAAAAAAATTAAACATTTGATCAAGAATAATTTTTTCAAAAATTTTACTAAGTGTTGGCAGTACAGAAATAGGTCTAAAATTAGCGGGGTCCAATGTACTACCAGATTTAAATAAAGGTATTACTTTACTATGCTTCATTAAATCAGGAAACACACCAGATTCAATACTAGTATTAAAAATAATAGATAGTTGAGGTGCGATCGCATCTATTATAGACGCAATAACTTTAACAGAAATTCCCCACAGATCGGCGGTTCTCTTAACACAGAATACCAGCGTGAAATAGTAGCTTAATGCTGCTGTATTTCGTATGGTGAGTGTAGAGAACCGGAGACCCTTTTTACTGGTAATGAGGCATTCCATCTCAGTCCTCACGGGTGACAACGCATCTGCATTTTGATTTGTAATGGAAGATAGATGTAGATGTCTATGGGCCGCAGCAACCACTTACCATCAGGTGGACTGTGTGCTCGTTTGTCAGCCTATTCTATAAAAAAAATATCTTTTGATGACCCTTTATGAAATGTAAAATTCTTTGTACACACATTTACATTTTGTCTAAGTAATGATTCGGCGACGGCAAGAGAAGAATTCAGTGACTAAGTGGTTAAGATCGGAATATCAGTAAAATATTTCTCAAAAACCATTGCAACATCCTGATCTGATTTAGTTAATTTATTGTTAAAACTTAACTGGTAGTTTAATTGCGAGAGTTGACCTTACCAGTTTCACTATTAATTATACTCCATGTCATTTTAATTTTATTAGAAGCAGTCTTTATTTTGTTGCTTAAATACAATGACTTGGCTAAGGAGCACACTCTTTTAAATATTTTGGAATATTTTTTTATTATATCATATATTATTTTACATATAATTTAGGGAATATGATATATTATTATATAATATTCCCCTTAATTTGACGCTAGGATTATATGACCTTTCATTGTAAAGTTCATATAACCTTTGTCTACTCTTATGGACTCCTACTGTCGCCCATTCATTAAATGCTTTGCGATTGTTCAAGGAGAATGTTTTAGAAGTAAAAGTATTATTAAATTCATTGCAAATAAGCTTAAATAATGTTCCATACAAAAATTTGGATTATTTTGGTATGAAAGTAATGGAAGTTTTTTTACTATGTTACCTCTAAACTTCTCCAAGCGATGTGCATTTACTGGAACAAACACCACTTTTTTATCTATTTGCTTTTTGTGAACATAATAAATTGTGAACATAAGGTAATGAAACTAATTGTCCACAGTGATCAGAGCTAAATTTTTGAATTATACATTTTGAACGGCTTAACATTTGTAAAAATGTTATCTATACATGTTGCACTAGATTCAGCAATACGTGTTGGCTCCAAAAATAAATTAAAAAGACCATAAGATTTAAACAATGATCTAAATTTTATATTGGTGGAGGAAGCTTCTAGGAGATTGATATTAAAGTCTCCACATATTACAACAGATTTATTCTGTTTATTAAGCTTAGCAAAAACTTCCTCCATAATTTTTTAGAAAGTATCATATAAAGAACATGGGGGTCTGTAAACGCTTACAACAATGAGGTGCTCAAACTCAACACATGCCATTTCTACAGTTTGCTCAACAGAGAGGCTCATAATATCTTTACGTTCTTTAAATGATAATAATTTACTAGCTAAAATTAAGGAGCCACCTCTTAAACCGTTTCTCTATTGAAGGAACTGACCACCTGGTGATTACTGAAGTTAAACATTAAATTATGAGCTTTTAACCAATGTTCAGTAATACATATAATACGAATATTGTTGCTATTTAAGAACAATTCAATTTCTAGTTCTTTGCCTATCATGCCTTGTGTATTCTGATGCACCAGGTGTAAACAATTTTTATTATCATTTTGTGGAGTTATACAATTGCAACTATTCAGGATTTGTAAGCACATTCAAATTATTTAAATTGATATTGTCTCATTTTCTAATTTAAATTACTTGGAACGGATTCCAAATTGCATGTCAAATCATTATGCTGCTCAATAGGAGCAGATGTCTGGGTAGCCAAGTCCTTGGCTGAGTTAATATATAAATAACTAGCTGCTGCCCGCGACTTTGTACGCGGATGATGTTGCTTACGCCAGCGACAACGGGGTCGTCAAAATCGAAGATCTAAAACGTCTGTTTTCGAATTCTAAGAGCCCGGGGACGGGAAAACAACGTGATGTGCGAGACGATTCGAGACGTTCCAGATCTTTCATTTTTGTAAGTCAACACGAAATGCCCATCAGATTAAACAACTTTTGCTAAGGCGTCATTCCTATATATGTTATAATGTCGCTGTGCGTCGGGTTTTGGAGTTTCACAACAGGTGTTCCAGATCTTCAAATAACTATAGCTGTAACCCTGGCTTTGCCCACGTTCTCGGTCACGCGCAAGTCGTATCTCACGCTCCTGACTGCTCTCAACCTCTGATCCCTCTGTGTAACCGTTTCGGATGCGCGAGACAAAGAATGACGATCCCGATCGATAGCTAAAAGCATTTCTCGTTGTTCCACACTTTCCTGAGATCGAGAAGCAGTAGTGCGGACTCGTTTAAATTCTAGTCGTAATTGGCGCTGCGTGCTAGTTTCTGCGGACAAACTTAGTGCATTACGCTCACGGTTAGCACCCCGCCGTTGTTAAAGCTCTGCGTGGGTTCGAAAAAAACTATTGCTACTACTAAGTAACCTGCGCATCTTAGAAACCCTTGAGTTTCGATACAGATTTGATGTTTTTATAAAAGGCATAGCTAGATTCCTTCTTAATCCGATACCAACGATATTCAAAATAATGAAAAGTTATCGAATAAGTACGTAATAGTAGAAAAATAATAATTATTCGTAGGAAAATTAAACACATCAACCAACACAGACAACAAAGGTAACCCCCGTTTCTATAGGATGATAACTTAGAACCAAAAGTTTGACTTGACTTCATGATAGTGTAACTTGTTGAGCCACCAATCAATCTGTTTAGTAATATTGGTGTGAAACTCTCCATACAATCAGATAGGACATGTAAAGTTCCCGGATTTCCTAATGCACATAAAAAGTGCAAAAATTAAACAAAAATTACGATTTTTCAAAACAATATTATGGGATTTAAGCTTGCACCATTTAATGCGGTAAACATTTTTGACAGTCGACATATTGTTAAACAGCTGTTCTCTTGCAATTTATAATATTACTGCCCCGCTCCTTTATAAAAATAGCGTGATTATTATGTTCCCAGAGTTAAATTTTTATTTTTATTTTAACTAATAACATATCATTTCGTGCATTCAATTATTTGTGCATTCAATGACAGAGAAAAACCTTTTAAAATCAATACTGCTTACCCCCTATAACATACGGCGTGATAATATGTAGCCTAAAGCCTTCCTTGTTAAACAAAGAACATTTTTGCTTAATTTCAATTCAATCTATCCAGTAGTTTTGGCGTGAAGCCGTATCATACACACAGACAAACAGACAAAAATTCTAAAAACTCACTTTTTGTCATCAGTTACGTTTTTATAACAAAAGCCACTTATTTTTTCTCGAAAATACTCAATGTACAGTTTTTTTTTTCGTTACTGTTTTATTATATGTGTAGATAAGATAGCACATTTGCTATCTGTCTTAAATTATATTTGGATAGGTAATAGCTATCTGTAGTCTAAAATTTCTTAATTAAATTATTAATGACTATTAAATTAATTCTATTGGTATAATTGTTACAATTAAATGTCAAATTTAATTTATTGTTACATGATAAATTATTCATTAATAAATTTAAATCATATCTTATTTTATTCTCCGGTGGCGAACCCTGTATGTAAGGCAATAATGTAAACAAGATTATTTTGTGTACATTTAAAGTATTGAGGTAATCAATATATTTTAATAACTGATTTTTGTTTACATTGCCTCTTCTCCCAACAAGAATTATTAATGTGCTATTAGGACAATACTTACTAGTTAAAACTTTATTCATTATATGACTAAAGGATGCTCCAGGCATACAGTAATTACTAATCAGTTGTCCTTTTAAATTGTTATTTAACATCATGCCCAAATTTTTTCCTATGTCATCACAATACATAATAACTTTATGTTTTTTAATATTTAAACTAATTTTTAAGTTTTTATTCTTTGTTATGGCACCGTCATAGAGCGTTTGTGAACTAAGACGGTTACTATTTACACATATTGTTTCCGATGAACATGGTATGGAGCGTTGATTCTCACACTGATCTTTTATTAAGGAGTGTCAAAGCGCTCCTCGTTGTATTTACATGACTTTACCAGATCATTCATGGCCAATATGTGTTCTTTAATCTCAACCTGAGCCGATGCATATTTATTGGAGATAACATTGGTCGGCAAAAAAAAAATTAAAATCCGGGAGCAAAAAGTGTAGTATGTGATTTCTATTGGCTTTGATTTGTTGAGTCCAATCGAAGATCACTACCTCTAGCTTTTCAGATATTTACATTTAAATAAAATATCGGTATTGATATATATATATATATATATATATATATATATATATATATATATATATATATATATATATATATATATATATATATTAAATATGTATATATTTTAGAACGAAATAATTTACACTGATTGATGACTTTTACAACACAAATTAAAATGAAATATGAATTTAAAAAAAAACATAAAAATGATAACTACTTGGTAGATCGCTTTCTTTTATACATTTTAACTGCTGTTTCTCGATTTATTTCCCAGCAAAAATCAGCTAGCATTGCTGGGGTCCACTTGCCGCTGTATCTTTTTTCCATATGTGCAATGTCTTGGTGAAATCTTTCACCATGCTCATCAGACACGGCACCAAGATTTTCTGGGAAAAATCTAAATGCGAATGCAAGAAGTGAATTTTTAAAGACATATTGTATCCAAGTTGATGATACGACGAAATCAGTTCTTCTGTTAGCTCTGTGTAATTTTCAGCCTTTTTATTGCCAAGAAAATTGTGACATACATTTTCAACTAGACGTGCTAGGTGAATTCTAACTACATATTTGGATTTAACGTAACTAACGTAATAACTTCCATATATACATTTTTTTGCTCTTATTTTGATGCCGACCAGTGTAATTTGTAGGGAGTTTTTAGGCGACAAAACTTCTGAATTGAGACACTCTATTTCAGTCTCATAACAGTTTTTCATATTTTCCACCTCAATTGAATATAATTTAAGTTTATTAATTAATTCATGCTTTTCCTTACATATATTTATATAATTTTTTGTATTAATTTTAGTTTTAATTAACTTTTGTACTTTCCTAACATATTTATTAATTTTTATGTATTTCTTTAACTTTCTTCTACTGCATGTAATCCTTTCTGCTGTTCTTGATGTGACAACATCATCACCACTCAAATCGATTGTTGTGGAGGTTTGCAATGTTTTTGAAGATTTAAATTCTATGAGCTCGTTGAACAGACTTTGAGTTTGGGCCACTTTCAATTCATCTAAGTATTGTTTTAATTGCAAAATCTGCTCATTAGTCTCACTTAACTGCAGCTGCAATGCAGCAATTAATCTGAGGGATACCTCATATTCTTTGCTGCATCGGTCGAACTCATCGACTGTTCCCTGAAGCTGATCCCTTTCTTTTAAAGACAACAACCATATCACTTTTTAGTTGACTATTTTTGGCAATTATATTTATTATTTCCTTTTCGTTGTCATTCTTTCTTTCTTTAAGCAACAGCTCACACTGCTCCTTTGACGCCTTAAGTTCAAGAAGCGCCATTTGAAGTTGGTTCTCCATTTGGCGCGTTTTGGCGTTGCGTGTATTCATTTTACTATTGTGTGTAAAAGTAGCAAAAGAAAACAAAGAAAGAAAACCGAAGAAACAGAGTGAGCTAATATCTAGATCTATGGGTCTACTTACAGATCTCAAATTAAATTATCAGGTAAATAATTCAAATTGAAATCCGAAACAGCACTAATTTAAAAGGTAAATCTTAAAATATTAAAGGGATAACAAAAATTACAATAACTTACAGAAAGTTCAAATAAAGTTCGTTACAGCTGTTACTTTTAGTTGAAGCACAAAACAAAAATACTTATACATTTACTACAATAGTCTTATTTATTAACAACTGTAACTAGAAATTGAGGTGGATATTATCAATTTACAATATTTAATTTTGCTAAATAGTTGGGAGCTATTATTTTACAACTTGTCACTGGGGTTGCTAAGCAACTCCTTGTATTCATTGAAGACTTAATAGGGCTTAGCTGTGAACTATAGCCATAGCAGCGATCACAATAGATCTTTTAGATCGCAGTGATACTGGCCTCTTTACCTAGACCTGCATAGCTGCACGCACATAATAAAAAAAATCGCACATAGTGACGAAGTATTCACGAATATGTGGCTTACGTTATTCAAATATTCATTTATTAAGCTAACATTCGCGTTATCGCGATGTGGGCCGCGGCATAACAGTAATCTATAAGACAAAAATTTAAGGAAATTAATTTATTGATTTTGATTGATTTTGACCTCGCAATACATTTACGAAAATGTTTTGTATGTATACAAAGTTATATTAAACAATATCTCTCCATGTCTAGCGAGCACGTCGACGCCATCAGCCGTACCTCTGACGCCCACGGTCCCAGCGGTGGACATCGACGACATAGAGATAAAGGCGGAGGACGTGTACGCGTTCCGGGACATCGACATCCACATCCCCCCAGTCACGGCCATGCACAAACCGGCTGCTAGGTATGTTCATCATCACTCGACTCTCAGTGTTCATAAATTGTTGATTCCTTCACCAACAAGTCATTAACGAATTAATTATTTTTATAGAATTAGGGTAACAAACGAGCACACAGTCCACCTGATGATAACTGGATGCTGTAGCCCATAGACAATCTACATTTATCCTCGATTACTTAAGAATCAAAACGCAGATGGTATGTCACCCCTGAGGACTAAGATGGAATGCTTCGTTTCCAGTAAAAAGGGTCCCCATTAGTGATACAATGCTGCAGTTATATTAGAAGTATAGTTGTAGCACGAATGGGTCGGCTCGACCGGGGAAGGACCACGCTCTCACAGAATACCAGCGTAAAATAGCAGCTTGATGCTGCTGTATTTCGTATGGTGTGTGTAGAGTTTCGGAGACCCTTTTCTACTGGAAACGAGGCATTCCATCTTAGTCCTCACGGGTGACAACGCATCTGCATTTTAATTCGTAATCGAGGTTATATGTAAATGTCTATGGGCCACAGCAACCACGTAACATCAGGTGGACTGTGTGCTCGTTTGTCGCCCTATCCTATAAAAAAACATAAATACTTACCCCTGTCACCCAGAGGGGTAGGCAGAAACTACAGACTTCCATTTGACACGATCCTGACACACTCTCGCCTCCTCCACATCCATGTACCTACGCATACATGCTCGTCAGTTAAGGGTTCTCTTAATTTGGCCTATCTTCAATATATCGTCAATTTGGCAGATAAACTTTCGCCTAGGACGTCCGTTTTCGACTCTGCCGTTCACTTCTGCAACATAAATTTGCTTTGTCACACTTTCCTCATTCATTCTTTCTACATGACCATTATTTTGTTATCTATGTAGAATAACTTTATTCTATTCTATCTAAATCATAATAATGTCATCATCAAAGAGGATAATCGTAGTTTTTTGTAGAGTATTGTATAAATAAACGTTCACATTTGCTTCAGGATTGAGAAACCCGTGTTCAAAAAAGAAGAAGAGGAGTCGTCGCCCACAGAGATTATAGATGCTGTGGAGCCGATCGGAGATATGGATATAAAGGTAAAAGATTTTGGTTTCTCGTAGAAGTGCGTTATTTAAATAGAACTAATTTTACGGGTTTTTTCTTCGTCTATAAAGTAAAGATGACTCAGTCCACCTGATGGTACATCTATTTCGAAACAAAGATATATTGTTACGAGCTTGAGGTTCGTGACAATAAAAACTGCCGATTGAATTACCGAAATTAACACTTTAATTCACTTTACACCAATGGGACGGCCCGTACCGGATTGTAACGAGGATCAACGATGTAACCTACCGGATACAGAAAGTTCGAGTGTCGGCTTCTATAAGCTTAGTTCTTCGTTTCGATACTAGATGGCGCTGTCGGTTGAAAGATTAGTGATGTCATTTTCAGGAAAGCTCCCCTCGCTCTCGTCCCTGACACTAGATGGCGCTAGTGCCGGATACATGACGTCAACTTAGGCGCGCAATAATATTATAGATAATTATGCTCTCACGGAATACCAACGTGAAATAGCAGCATACTTTGGAGCAGTAATGGACTTCTTCAGCCTCTGTTGTGTATATCATGCAAAGTGAGAACCATAGCTTAACCTAACAATAGAGGTAGATCATTATAGAGTAGTGTATGTTGTGATCCATAGACATCCACATTTATCTTCGATTAAGAATCAAAATGCAAATGCGTAGTCACCCCTGAGGACTAAGATGGAATGCCTTGTTTCCAGTAAAAAGGGTCTCCGGTTCTCTACACTCACCATACGAAACACAGCAGCATTAATCTGCTATTTTACTCCGGTATTCTGTGAAAGCGTGGTCCTTCCTCGGTCGAGCCGACCCACTCGTGCTACAACCATGATATAGCTGAAGTGTAGCTCTACCATGTGTAGTAGAGTAATTTTACGGGTTTTGTCAGGTTTAATTTAAGGGACAGGTGGGAGGGGGTGTTAACATTTGCCGCCATTGTCCCACTATTATAAACGTTTGGACGTGGAAAAGAAAAGATCTCCTGCCGGGTAAAGCAATCGGCCCGGGGAGCGGCCATCGCTTCATGTGTTAGAGTACAGAGCTATTCTATATATAGCGCAGTACGTCGGAACTTTGATAGCGTGATTTAGGCTTCGGTGTTCGGATTTAACATCGAACGAGCTCTAAGAGAATTTTTTTATAGAATAGGGTTACAAACGGGCACACAGTCCACCTGACAGTAAGTGATTGCTGCGGTCCATAGATATCTACATCTATGATCGATTACGAATCAAAATGCAGATGCGTTGTCACCCGTGAGGACTTATGTGGAATGCCTCATTTCCGTAAAAAGGTCTCCGGTTCTCTACACTCACCATACGAAACACAGCAGCATCAAGCTGCTATTTTACGCTGGTATTCTGTGAGAGCGCTGTCCTTCCCCGGTCGAGCCGACCCATTCGTGCTACAGCTACACTCCTAATATAACTGCAGCATAGCTCTACCACGTAGAAAAAAAAACGGGTAAAATTTGTTTAATATATTTTTCGATGTGAAACATGGATTAGTTCGCCTTGGCAGTAAAACCGACTCGTTTGCCGTGATGGCAAACAGCCCTCATGTCTCTACGTCACCGTTTTTGACTCTCTTGCGTTTATTATACACTTCGTTTTTTTTATTTTACTCTATTTTTTTTGGTTTTCTTTTACTAATTCTGCCATCAAATATGATCTGGTGACGGCCAATTTCGTTTTTAAATAACACTCCCTTCCCTAAAACCATCTCTGAAATGAGAGCATATCTAGTTTTACGCGTTTTTCCCAGATGGAACCGGTGACCGTGGACTCGGCTGCCGAAGAAATATTGGACACTGAAATTGAAACGGTAAGAGATATTTTATTGTACGCTAATGTAGGTAAGCGTGTATAGAATAGAATAGAACAATTATGTATTCAATATAGATTACATGTAATTCTTTTTGAATGTCATTTATTACTTTACCACTGGTTTGGAAAAAACCTTTGTCCTGGGAAGAACCAGCAAGAAACTCAGCGGGGCTTTTTTTTAAATTCTTTTTTCTTATTTAATAAAACTTTACCCCCACACTAGAATTTTCTCCTGTATCGTGGGAGCAGTTTACATACATAAATTTCACAAGGAAAGACATCTAGACCCGGAACAATTACTTGTAGGCCATACAAATACATGTTCCGCGCGGGATTGGAACCCGCGGCCCTCAGCGCTGTAACTCATTGCTGAGCCACTGTGTCTTCTTTTTTTTAAATTTTACAATATGAACGGTTACAAAATATTTACAAAATTTATTTCAGAAACAGCTTGGAAGCGACCACCTTATTCCCAGGTGTTATAATCAACCATGTATTCATTTATATCATAATAACCCTTTTTATACAGTTTCTGTTTAATTAAATACTTAAACCTGGTAATAAAGAGACCTTGTATATTTTCGGGGACTTTGTTGTAATAGCGTATACATTGCCCCAAGAATGAATTACTGACTCTGTGAAATCGAGAAACTGGTATCACTAGCTTGTGATTGTTCCTAGTGTTTACGGAGTGTATATCACTTTTTTTAGTAGTGCTGGTGTGTGAATATCTACTACCCTATATCCTCCCGTGGGTGTCGTAGGAGGTGATAGAGGAAAATTGAAGCAAAGGTTGCAGCAACTTCCTGATGTAAAGTTAAAGTTACAGCCTATATACGTCCCACTGCTGGGCTCAGGCCTCCCCTCATTTCTGAGAGGGTTTAGGGCAAGGAAGTGTCCGCCGCGCTGCCCAAATGCGTGTTGACGAACTTCACATGTCTTCGAAAATTTTTTTTCTTATTCTTCAGACATGCAGGCTTCCTCACGATGTTTTCCTTCACCGCCGAGCACGTGGTAAATCATCACTTAAAATTGCAATTAACAATTTCATTGGTGCCGCAAAAATAAAAACCAGAAAAAGGGACCAACGGAGAAAGTAGGTGACTGTCGTGAATGAAAAGTCGAGTAATGTTGATTTCTTATTTTTACGCGAACACTACACATTTAAAAAAGCGGTCTAGGTGCTATTAGAAAGGTTCACACGATTAACTTTCCAGTGGAAAGAATAAAAAAAATATATGTTTTAATATTTTATACAATTTTTATTCGGCACAAAAAACGACTTGACCTGTCGTTTTTTGTGCCGAATGAAAAATTGTATAATCGATTTTGTTCAAAATTTGATGAGTCTAAGGTACATAATTACGCGTTAAATGAAACTGGTCCCATGTCAATATCACTCTTTGTTCTCGAGATAGACGAGGCGAAAATTGAATTCGAACATACATACATACATACATACATACGTACATGTGCACACACGGACATCCTCTTAAAAAACCATACTATTCGACTCTAAAGACCTTGAAACGTGGAGATATTGATTAAAACTACTTTTACGGATTTTATCGCGTTATATTTATTATTAATACCCGACGTTTCGGGTGCTTTCCAGCACCCATGGTCACGGGGGACTGAGGTGACTGACGTCCCGATGTCAAATTTAACCCGGAGTACCTTCAGCTTTTTAACTATTGTCTTTGGTCCGATCTACGCAGAATTCTGCGTAGATCGGTAAAAGTATCGGTAAAAGTAGTTTTAATCAATGTATAGTGTTCGCGTAAATATAAGAAATCATTACGTGGAGATATGTTAAAATTTCCAATTTGCAAAATTGGACCCATTATAATAACTTCCCACTGGGAAGTTAATAAAACTAGTTTTTACGGATTTTATCGTGTTTCGTATGTTGTGTATCGTTTTATTTTATGTATGTAGGTCTTTAGTCTCGCTGACAAAATGGTAGAAATTCTTTATGTGTGCTCTTGTATGTATCCTGAGCGGTGAGAGTATTTTCGCTAAGTGTTGAGCCAATCTGTAAGTTGGTAAATCGATTTGCTCACTATGGGATGTAGTGGAGCATTGGACTTGTGTATTTTTGGTAACCCATACAACTTTGGTGATTTGGCACACGTAAGTATTATCGATTTTACGTCCAGGTTTAATTTTGAATTTTGAAGCGCGCTTCCATTAAAACATACTTCAAGCCGCCGAAGAGGATTGGTTAGTTTTTACCATCAGTCAAGTGTCATGTCCATCTGCAGGGTGCAGGAGTGCCAAGCTTGATTGTGAATGTGGTTTCTCTTACATGGGACATACTAAAAGATCAATTAAAATCCAATCCGGGTTCATCTTTTAGTTTGGGTGCTGTAAAGTGCTTGAAACGTCGGCAGTATAAAAAAATATACTAAAACCAAACCATCCATATTGTAAAAACTATTTTTATTCAGATAATATTTTTCAAAATTGGCGTTTACGAAGATATTTTTAATAGTTAAAAGCTACGCCATCACTTTAACAAATCCCTCCTACGGGAGAACTTTAAAGAAGAAGGGGCGAGGAACTGATAAGTAGACAACTTTTGTCCCAGAAGTTACAATTTAACCTTATAGAATATGCAAAATGTAAGGGAAGAAATAACGGTTTTACTTTTAATTGCTGATTATCTATAACTTAAATACCCGTCTCTTTCTATGGTAATTTAGTGAAGGAGAGTGAGAGAGAGAGAAAGAGAGAGAGAGAGATAGAATAAATAGATAGACTAAATAAGAGCGAGAGAGCAACTTTTAGAATTTCTTGATTTGTCCTAATTTTTATGAATAAAGGCCAGTAGTATTATATAGTTTTAAATAATAATTAAAATACTGTTTACGATAAATGACTGGTTAAATGGTAGTTCTTTGTGTGTATATATATATATATATATATATATATATATATATATATATATATATATATATATTTTAACTAAATTTTTATATAAATTGATATTTACTGTATTTTTTTTAATAATTCCATAACAAGTAATACATTCTAAACATTGGTATTTGTTTTTAGAATGAAGAAGAAATAGTAGAAGAAGTGCCTCCACAACCGGTGGAGATTAGGGAACCGACACCAGAAGTGGAAGTGAAGATCGCTTTCCCGGAAGTGAAGTTCCCAACGCCGGAAATAAAAGTGATACAACCTGAAGACCAAAAGGTAAACGTCTTTAAGAAAATAGCTGGCTTCACAATGTGTTATTCACAGTTTCTAGTAATGAGTCATCACGTTCTCAGCGAGGAAGAAAAGCATCGTGAGGAAACCTGCATATTAAGAAGTTTTTTATAGGAGTACAAGTGATACACCCGGCTTCGTCCAATTGTCAATCCAAACCATTCTCGAAACAACTCAGATCGCGTTCCGATATACACTGGGAGAACTGCTCAGTACACTGGTGAAAAATTCGTTTCGTTATGGACCGCCGGTATACTGCCGCAGTACCCTAGGGAAGTATATGATGTCATAAATCGCCGCCATTTTTGTACTGTGGGCACTGACGCTTTCGACGTAAGGTGCTCTCAGTACTTTGATCACGTGATCAAAAACACAACAGCGCTTAGAGTTTTAACAACTTCCACGAATGATTGTTATTATTATTAATTAATATTGTTATTCAAATAAACTCGAACATTAAGTTTTAAAAGCAACTACATTCAAATAATAATTTTTCTTGTTGAACAGAGAACGTGTACATGATAAATAATTTCATTTGAAAACAGTGTTAACTACTACTGGACTGCGTTTAAACAATAACCGGTATAGCGAACTAAAAAGTAACGGCTTCACAGTAAACTAAATTGAGATCACACCTGTTTTTTAAATTATGTGCGAGCTATGCAAGTCTACGGAAAGAGATAAGTATCACTGTGACCTAAAAGATCTATCGTGACTGCTGCTATGGTTATAGTTCACTGCTAAGCCCTACGTCACACGTGGTAGAGCCATGCTGCAGTTATATTAGTAGTATAGTTGTAGCACGAATGGGTCGGCTCGACCGGGGAAGGACCACGCTCTCACACAATACCAGCGTGAAACAGTAGCTTAATGCTGCTGTGTTTCGTATGGTGAGTGTAGAGAACCGGAGACCCTTTTTACTGGAAACGAGACACTCCATCTTAGTCCTCACGGGTGACAACGCATCTGCATTTTGATTCGTAATCGAGGATAGATGTAGATGTCTATGGGCCGCAGCAAGCACTTACCATCAGGTGGACTGTGTGCTCGTTTGTCACCCTAGCCTATAAAAAAACACGTTACAGTGGTAATAGTGTATATCTGGACACACCCATAATCGCACACACACAAAATTTCATCAAAATCGGTCCAACAGTTGATGAGTTCGGTCACATACACACGGAACGAAGAATTATATACATTTGGATTTAGGTCCAAGGAAAAGGAGACTTGTTAAATATACTACTAAATATGGGAATATTTAAAAACATGTATCACAGTAATTTTAAATTAGGCAAGTAAATGTAAATCTGAAAATTTTCATTAGCAATCTATAAATAGTTCAACGCTGGACATGATGTCTGTACATACATAAACATAAACACTCACGCCTGTCACCCAGAGGGGTAGGCAGAGACTACAGACTTCCATTTGGCACGATCCTGACACACCTCTCTCGCCTCCTTTACATCCATACACCTACGCATACATGCTCGTCGGTTAAGGGTACTCTTAATTTGGCCTGTTTCCAATAAATCGCCAATTTGGTCGATACATTTTCGCCTAGGACGTCCCTTTCCGACTCTGCCATTCACTTCTGCAACATAAATTTTCTTTGTCACTCTTTCCTCATTCATTCTTTCCACATGAACAAACCACCGAAGCATTCCTTTCTTAATCCTGGTCACAACATCATCTTGCAAACCACACTCTTCTCTTATTACACAATTTCTTACCCTGTCATTCAGATTCAGCCCTAACATACTCCTTAACGACCGCATTTCTGCTGCGTTTATTCTACTCTCGTGCTTCTTCTGCCACACCCAACTTTCACTACCATACATTAAAGTAGGGACCAACACAGCATTGTGAATTGCCATACGTGCCTTTTTCTACACATTTTGACTCTTCACAATAGAGTGCTATTTCCCGAATCATGATGTCTGTGTTAGTTATTATTTAAAATTCAAGTGTACAAACGAACTTTCAGTCAACCTGAAATAGCTACTTGCGTAAAAAAATTATAACCATGTCATCTGCATAGATGACAATTTTACTGTTAGTAAGTTTCATTTGACACAATTCATTACAATTTCTTTCCGGTTCTCTACACTCACCATGCGAAACACAGCAGCATGAAGCTGCTATTTTACTCAAATGAACGTCGTTTTCACTCAATTTTCTTAAACCTTTAATATTCAGTATATTAAACAATTTGCTCAGTAACACTAGTAATAGTTAATCTCAGCCGCCAAATTGCGTGAACGCACTACGCGGCGAACGTCCCGATACTCCACCACTGTACGTTTCACAAGGAGTTTTCTTCCGCGCACAACCTCTCTGTGGAATAGTTTACCGCCGGCGATTTTTCCGGACCGATACGACCTGAGGACCTTCAAGAAAAGAGCTTACTCCTTTCTAAAGGACCGCCAACGCACGTGCAATTCCCCTGGTGTTGCGGTTGATCATGGGCGGTGGTAGTCACTTAACATCAGGTGAGCCGCATGCTCGTTTGCCCCCTCTTCTGTAAAAAAATAGTACGTCTTATTTCTTTTTCTAAGTTCTCTCTAATACATAAAGCATAGTAATGAAAAGGATTTTTTTATACGATGAGAATGAAAAACGAGTACACAGTGCACCTGATGATGATTGGATGCTGTGGCTCGTAACCATCTACATCTATGCTTGATTAAGAATCAAAATGTTAATACGTTGCAACCCCTAAGGACTAAGATGGAATGCTTCGTTTCCAGTAAACAGGGTCTCCAGTTCTCTACACTCACCATACGAAACACAGCAGCATTAAGCTGCCTTATTACGCTGGCATTCTGTGAGAGTGTCGTCCTTCCCCGGTCGAGCCGACCCATTCGTGCTACAAGCTTAATACCCAGCTGTGGCTCATATGTAGAACGTAGTTATATTTTAAGGGAAGTTTGATCACACTGCTCATGTAAAAATAAATCCACAGATTAAAGAAGACGTGAAAGAACCGGAAGCGCCGCCACCGGAACCGGAGAAAGTAGTGGAAGAAATACCTCAGCCGGAAGAAGAACCAGCAGTTGTGCCTGTTGAAGAAGAAAGGTAGGAATGATATTGTTACGAGCTTAAGGTTCGTGACAATAAAAACTGCCGATTAATTTACAAAAATTTACACTTTTATTAGCGAATACCAATTGAAACTTAAATTACACTAATAATTATTACACCACTTTAGTTCACTTTATTTCACTCCGAAAGCTTCGCTCGTATCGCCGATTCAATACTGCCCCGATCGCGGCTTTCAACGGCTTATAAATAGGCCTTTTCCACCGAAAGATCCAGAATATTCTAGCAAATACCGGCCGCCGACCGACCAGGTGCAGAAAGTTCGAGTGTGGAGTTTTCCAGAAAGCTTAGTTCTTCTATTCGATACTAGATGGCGCTGTTGGTGGAAACTTCCAGCATGGCATTTTCTGGAAAGCTCTTTTCGCTTTGTTCCCCGACACTAGATGGCGCTACTGCCAGGTACCAGACATCAACTTAGGCGCGCAACCATATAAATATTCGAATCCCGGACCGAGCCACAGTGAGTTATTAGGTTTTTCTGTCAAGAAGTTTACAATAGCAGCCCGGAGTCAGGAAATTGGTGACGTTTTAACCCCGTGCCTTCGTAAGTACGTTAAACCGTTGGTTCTGCGTCTGAACTCACTCCGGTCGTGTAAGATCGTCGTTCCATCGGAATATGAGAGTGAGTGAATAGAGAGTGCACCAGTGCTTGCGCATGCACTCGGGCACTATAACTATAATCCTGTCCTGCGCCGATGGCTAGTCTCCGTTGAAGCAGGCCGCTGTGACCGAAATTTGGTCTGGAGGACATTATTGTAAATGCATACGCAGCATTCTATCTTAGTCCTCATGTTTTTTTTATAGGATAGAGTGACAAACGAGCACACAGTCCACCTGATGGTAAGTGATTGCTGTGGTCCATAGACATCTACATCTATCCTCGATTACGAATCAAAATGCAGATGCGTTGTCACCCGTGAGGACTAAGATGGAATATCTCGTTCAAAAAGGGTCTCCGGTTCTTTACACTCACCATACGAAACACAGCAGCATTAAGCTGCTATTTGACGCTGGTATTCTGTGAGAGCGTGGTCCTTCCCCGGTCGAGCCGACCCATTCGTGCTACAACTATACTACTAATATAGCTGCAGCGTGGCTCTACCACGTATATAACGCATCTGCATTTAGATTATTAATCGAAGTTAAACGTTGATATCTATGGGCCACAGCCTCAAATTTCCATCTCGTGGTCTGTGTGCTGACTTGTCACTGCTATTCTATAAAAAAACATATTATTTTTAATATTCCACGTTTCCATATTCTTACTATAGCTCATCGAGAAGTTAGTCACCCATGGTCACAGGGGTACTGACATGGAGGTTAGAGAACAGGAGAACGATCGCTACGTACTAAAGCATAGCCCGCCTGTCCTTGAAAATTGTAGAATTTATAGCGGCGCTGACGTCGGTGAGTAGTGACTGCGAAGTTAGCTGTTTATGAGTACAAGTAGATGAAGTTAGTCGAATAATGTACAAATTGTCTTCGCGTCATTGGTGAGAAAATTTTCATGGTCCGTAATTTAGTGATTTTTGACAAAAAGAAACATTAAAAAATGTAGAAATATTTTATTGTGCGTAGATGTGCGAGTGGTTTAGCATCTGATCGGAAAAATAGACTGAAAATGACTTTTATTTAGCGAACTGAGCGATCGCAGCGCCTCACTTATGGTGTCCATATTTCTGGGACAATATTCTTTACGGCGATCGTTCTCCTGTTCTCTAACCTCCATGGGTACTGAGGCGTTTGACGTCCCAATGTCATAGTTAGCCCGGCTACCTTCACTTTTTGAAAATTAATTTTTGATCCGATCTACGCAGAACGAGCTTACAGTATCTTAAACTTTAGCAGTGGTATGCTTGGTTTTGGATTTAATTTTGTTAATTATACGATCCCAAGCAGATGGCAACACCCATCCATCTTCCTATTGAAATCAGGATGTTTTTAATTTCAATAGCCTCGTGTATCATCCTTGGTAATAATCGGTTTTCTTTTACGAGGATTTGTGGTTTATCAAATCTGATTTACTGGTGGGGTCTCATAGTTCGTTTAAAACAGGCTACAAGTCCAAAATCAACCAAAAGAAGTATTTCCAAACGCTTACGTGTTGGGGTATAAAAACATATTTATGAACTATAAAAAATATTGTAGGTAGAGAACAACCTGTTGTACTGGAGTAACGGAACATAATTTGATTTTTTTTAACAAAATGACGAATTAAAAAACTGCGTAAATTCAATAACTCTGAGTTTTCAGCGACGACACCAAGTTTTTTTTACATAATAAATAGCCAAACTAACGGTTTACGGAAATATCGGATTAGATTTTTTTTTTTCATATTTATATTATAAGTAATTAGATGAAAACCCACATAAAATATAATCTTCGAACTCAAAACACCATTATCATCAAGTGTGATATGCGATTTTCAATTCAAAACCTGTTTTGGGTAGATAAAAAATAGACCGCGGTAACCCGTTTAGTTGTCGGTAGACCTGTGTCGATCGATCATTTCTCGTAACCCCGGGTCGATTACGACCCACTCGTATGGTGATAAGGTTAAAAAGATTCGATCATTTGGGTCGCAGCTCGTTTGTATACTTTGTAGTAATAATATATACTACGATTTGTTTATTGGTTGAATTGTGTGTAAACGAAGGAGACAGAAGACATTTTGTTTATTACGTCGTTGTGTGATTGATTGCACGATTCGATCGATTATATGTATGTAAAAATATGCAAAAAAGTAGAATTTGGTTTGTCTTGTCCCCGTGAAATCGGGTCAAATAAGATCGAATCAGGTTGCAATCGAATCAAAAAGATTCGATCAATCGCGATTAACACAGGACTAGTTGTCGGACAGCGCTCGAGTTGAAAGGTCGGTTCCGGACGCTCTGTGTCACACTGCGCTCTCTGATTGGCGGTTGCGCTCCGCCCACTGCTGGACACGCGGGCGATAAACGAATTTAAAATCGTACTTAGACCTCATCTTAAGTGGGATTTCACTTTTTATTAAAACTAATATTTTATTATTATTAAAAGGAATCCCAGACATAAAGCTTTATTGCCTAATATCATATAAAACTTCTTTAGCAGTGAAATAGTCCCAGAGCCAGTGGTAGAAGAAGAGAAAAAAGAAGAAGCTATTGAAGAGCCACCACAAGAAGAAAAAGAACCCGTTAGTGCAGAAGTAGTGGTGGAAGAGACGCAGAGAACGGAAGAAATACCTTTACCACCAGAGATCATAGAAGACGAAAAGACAGAGGAAACAGCTGATGGTAAATATTGACATATTTTCAGAAATTCATCTCAAATTTACAGCACTATATGTTTTTTTACATTTTAAGAAAGTATTTACCTGATGGTAAGTGGTAATGCATTGTAATCAGATAGAAAGGCAGACGTTGGAAATTATTTCAGTTTAGAGAGAACCGGAGGACTTTTCTACTGGTTACGAGACATTCCTGCTTAGACCTCAGGGATGACGATGCATCTGTATTTCGAATTCTTATTCGAGGATAGATGTCGATGTCTATGGGCCACAGCATCTTACCATCAGGTGGTCTGTGTGTTCGAAAACGGAATTGTAACGAAATTTTTACGAATCCATTTTTTTTAAGTTGGTCGACTTTTACTCGTTAACTTGTTAATTTCACTTAGTGATATTTTTCCTTTTAACTTCATTATATTATATACTACTATCGTGTATACTTTTCACATTTCCAAAAACAGCAGTTTAGTTGGTAGGGGGGAGGGGGAGTACACAAGACTAATGAAAAATAGCCACTTTAAAGCTAAATGTTGTGCAAACGGGCCCCTGAATCGAGAAAATGTTGTTCCAAACCCTCAGTGTTTTGAAGACATCCTACGATGGAATGGGACGGGTAAAAAATACTTGTATGATGATTATATATATAAAAAAACTAGCGCATAATGAAAAAGAAAAATTCATAAAGCTACATAAAAAAGCAAGAAATGAAGTAACAACACTCATAACTAAAACAAAAAGTGAGTACTACTATAATTCATTTAATATCTGTAAAAATAACCCTAAAAAAATGTGGAGGCTTATTGAAACCTTTACAAAAAATAAAATAAAAACGGATAATATTCCTCCAAAACTAAAAACTTATTTAGGAGAAATAACAGATGGAAATCGTATTTGTGAAGAATTTAATTTATTTTTCACAAAAATTGGATCGGTCTTAGCTAACGAGATACCACAGACTTTTTCGGAGGTAAATAATTCATTCACTTTTAGTAACAAACATAAAAATGCAATTTATAATAAAAAACATTAAAAAATGTGACGAATATGAAGTGGCTAAAATAATTGACCAACTAGACCCTAATACGAGCTCGGGAATAGATGGCATTACAACAAAGGTAGTCAAGTGTATTAAGGACTTAATTCTTACAAGGCTTACTTCTTGTATAAATGATTGCCTTGAAAGCGGAATATTTCCAGATGAACTTAAAACAGCTACATACAAATCAGGTACAAGGTAATCACACCTATGTATATACAAATCAGGTATGAAAAGTGACCCCAGTAACTACCGGTACCGTCCTATCGCTGTCTTACCAGTAATTTCCAAAATTTTTGAAAAAGTAATATATAACCGCTTAAATAAATACCTAACATCAATTAACTTTATTTCAAACTGTCAGTATGGTTTCCGGCCTAGGTCAAATACCTTAGCCGCAACGGTAGATTCAATTACTAAAATAAAAAAAAAAACAATGATGCAAAAAACTTAGGGCTTGGAATTTTTATTGACCTACAAAAGGCGTTTGATTCAATAAGTCACTCACTACTATTAAAGAAACTTTCTCATATAGGTACTCTCATATTAACGGCCATGCTTTAAAAATTATTGAAAGTTATCTAAATAAAAGATATCAAATTGTAAAGATTAGTCACTATCAAAGTTCCCCACAACCCATTACGTACTGTATACCCCAAGGCTCTATATTGGGCACACTTCTTTTCCTGATTTATATAAATAACATAACTGATCTTAAATTAAATGGCGAAATTTCTTTATATGAGATGATACCTGTATTTTCTACTTTGGACGTTCCATAGAAGAAGTTATCGCACGAGCCCAAGTAGATCTAAATATAGTACATAAATGGTTCCAATCCAATTTGCTTACAATAAATACATCAAAAACCTCGTACATGATATTTAAACCCAAAGACAAAAACATTTGCAGTTATTCCCCTCTCACCATTGACAACCACATCTGGATTATCTAGTTGAAATTTGGGGGTGCACCTACAAAACAACATTAAAGGACCTACAAATAAACCAAAATAAAATATTAAAACTATTATTTAATTATAACTTCTTTACACCTACAGACAAACTGTACAGTGAAACTAAAATTCTGAATATCAAACATATTGCTATAATACTTGTATTCTAATAAAGAAAATTTTAGATAGTAAAATACACACACAATTAAAATTTGTAACAAATAAAGGTAAAGGAAAGAAAGTACTTCGCAACACTAATAATATTTACATACCTATGGTACGAACAAACTATGGTAAGCAGAGTATACTTTTTGATGGAGTTAAAATATATAATAAACTACCACAAGAAATAAAAATATTAAATAGTTTTAACATCTTTAAAAGCAAACTAAAACAACATATAATGAATAAATTCTAAATCCGACCCTGTCCATATGCCGACCGCTAATCAGCGTTAATCGGTAACGATAAGAAATACCTTACTTACTACCCACTTTATTTATTACTATCTACTAAAAGATTGATAACTTGTACACCAATACACAAAAAGATAATATAGGAAGTATTCAGTTTTATGCCTAAACTAGTAAGAAGTTGTATGTCACGAAACTCTTTCCTCCCTTTTTAATGTTAAATATATATATATTTTTTTGCTACCTGTATGCTCATAACCCATTTTCAACTTGAATATTGTAACTTCTCATTAAGTGAAATGTATATTTCTTTTGAGAATAAAATATCTTTAACCATAAAAAACTAGCTGTACTGATGAAGTCTTTTGGTCTTGATTACGATGAGAGAACGTACGAACACACAGATACGCATGACGAACAATGAAGTAAACCGTTTGGTTCGTGTGCGTGGTACGTCGGCAATAAAGGGGGCGTGTGGTTACTTAATGGTGGAAGAGAGAGGCAGGAATTATACTGTTACGAGCTTGAGGTTCGTGACAATAAAAATTGCCGATAGAATTACCTAAATTAACACTTTAATTCACTTTACACTAATTAAAGTTAAAAACACTAATAATTAATCACACTGATTCACTTTATTCCGCTCCGAAGCTTCGCTTGTCTCGCCAACTTCAATACTTCCTCGATCGCACCTTGCAACGCCTATAAATACACATTAGTACCGAATCATCCAGAACATTCAAGTAAATACGCGTACCGATCGACAAAGCGTCGATAATTCGAGAGTCAGCTTCTAGAAGCTTAGTTCTTCTGTTCAATACTAGATGGCGCTAGTGCCGTCGACTTCGGCGCGTAACACTGCCCCCTCCTAAGACATGCTCGTCCCGCGCATTATCGGCCCCATAATATCGCGCCAGGCGATCCACATGGACGATCTTAGGAGTCCCTCTTGCGCATTTCTGTAACGGCTCCGCAATGTCAAGGGCTGTCCTATCCCATGGTGCACCAACATTGTACAATTTCAGTGCTCCTCTACTACGTGTCTGAGGTCCCCGCACGGCCGCACAACTTGTACATGTACGACACCAAGCCTCGACATCGTCACGATAATGGACCCAGTAAAACTGTTCTCGGACTTTCAGCAGAGTTCGTTTAACTCCCAGATGGACTCTTGAACGACCATTATGGCACAGCTGTAGAACATTCGGCACTTTAGCCTTAGGGACAACCATTTGCAAACGACAGCTGTCTCCTCGACAATTGTCCCATTTACGGCACAGGACTCCACCCTGAATCAGCAAGCTGTCCCATTGGGCCCAATAGCTTTTCGTGGTTGAACTCATCGCTGAGACGTCGCTCCACTTAGGCTTGGTAGCACGGGCCTTCATCCATTCCAGAATCGGCTTGATGTCCGGATCTTCCTGCTGTGCATGTCGTAGGCTGTCCTTCCACCCGTTGCTGAGGTGGTCTGTCCTGAGCATCCTCACGGATACCACTTCCTTACTCTCTTGCCTAGTACAATGTTTCCGATCTTCAGGACAAGGTCTTCTTGACCATACATCTGCGTTACCATGAGATTTCCCGCTGCGATGTCTGATAGTAAAGTCGTATCCCGGCTGCTGCTGGGCGGTGATGTTAGCTGCACTTCCCTTCTGAGATCGTTCACCTTCCCTTTCTAGGGTGTGCTTAGGACAGCTGGACCGAAGATGGCCCCTTTCCCCACAGCCATAGCACCTAGGGCTGTATCCTTTATTATGGTCGCGAACCGTAACTGCTGCAACCTCCCTAGCGTGAGGTGAACCATGATCCTGTCGCCGCCAGGCAGTGCCGTTAGCTGCACTACCCTCTCGAAATCGATCAACTCTCCTTTCCACGGTTCGCTTAGGGCAGCTGGATCGAAGATGGCCTTTTTCCCTACAGCCATAGCACCTAGGGCTGTATCCTTTATTGCGGTCGCGAACCGTAGCTGCTGCAACCTCCCTGACGCGATGGGAGCGAAGATCCGGCCGCACGGCTTCCACCTCCAGTGCATGGGCCTAGGCGTCCTTAAGCGTCTCGTGGTGCCCGAGCCTCACAGCAGCTCTGACTTCAAGGTCGCGGATTCCGTCGATGAATGTCTGAACCAGGTTCCCTTCAATGAGCGCAGGTACAGACTGGTATGCTTTTCGAACCATCTTATCCACCTCAAGGGCCCACTGCTGCAGGTTTTCGTTGCTGTGCTGCACGCGATCTTTAAGCTGCGCGCGAAAGGCGTGTTCCAGGTGAGCGTCGCCGTATCTCGCCTCCAAGGCCTCAAGAAGCTGCTCGTAGGTCACTTTCTTACCGAGAGCTTCCAACACAGTTAAGGCTTGGTCGCGCGGGCCTAGGGTGAGTGCAGTCATGGCTTGGCTTTTATTCCAGCCGTTCGCCTCCATGACGGCCTCGAACTGGATTTTGTAGGCCGACCAGGAAGAGGTCCCGTCGAACGGTGGCACTTTGAATCCACGTAGCGAAGGTGTTGTAGCTACTACGGGAGCTGTTGTTCCATCCCCAAGTTTGAGGTCGTCCAGCGTTTTCTTTACGTCAGCCATTACGTTGTCAACCCGATTGTTTACTTGGTCGATTCGGGTTTCGGCCTCCGACAGGCCGTTGTCATGTTGAGCAACCTTATCCTTCACCTCCCGTATCTCTTTTCCGAAGATAGCGTGAAGGTCCTTCATGAGGAGCATCTGCTCTTCCTTATCGCGTTGGCGTTGCTCTTCTAAACGACGGGCCTGTTCCTCCTGCCGGCGGGCCTGTTCCTCCTGTCCGCCCCGCAGCTGCTCTTCCAATCTGCGGGCCTGTTCCTCCTGTCCGCCCCGCAGCTGCTCTTCCAAACGACGGACCTGTTCCTCCTGTCGGCGAGCCTGCTCTTGCAGCATCACCATCAGAGCACCTAAGTCAGGTGCTGCAGATGTAGGACCCTCTGACGTCTGCGGCGTTGCACCACCAAATCTTCTTTGTTCTGTATCCTGCTGGCGTTGACTTCGGGTACGGACACCCTCCGTTTCCTCCTTAGGTAAAATCGGCATGATTTTATCCCACTTCTGACACCAATTGTTACGAGCTTGAGGTTCGTGACAATAAAAATTGCCGATAGAATTACCTAAATTAACACTTTAATTCACTTTACACTAATTAAAGTTAAAAACACTAATAATTAATCACACTGATTCACTTTATTCCGCTCCGAAGCTTCACTTGTCTCGCCAACTTCAATACTTCCTCGATCGCACCTTGCAACGCCTATAAATACACATTAGTACCGAATCATCCAGAACATTCTAGTAAATACGCGCACCGATCGACAAAGCGTCGATAATTCGAGAGTCAGCTTCCAGAAGCTTAGTTCTTCTGTTCGATACTAGATGGCGCTAGTGCCGTCGACTTCGGCGCGTAACAATACGATATTGGTACTGAAGGCACTGTTATTGTGTGCGCCTAATAAAGCTATGGTCATATGTCGCGCACATCCTACACATCCCATTAAGTTTACTATTTGTTCGCCATCTATGAAATTAATGAAATTGAAAGTGTCCGTTTGTAACGTCAAAATAACAGCTTTTTACTAAATGCATATGAAAGTATACACGATGCTTTTAACGAAAAAACCAATTTTTAAAGTATTTTTCTGTCTGTCTGTTTGTTTCGGCTAATATTCGAAATGGTTGGACTGATTTTATCATGACTTTCACTGAAAAATAGCTGATGTAAGGCTTAGTCCGACTAGGTAAATCCAACTTCGACCGAGAGGTCAATCGACGGATTCAATTCGGCTGGGCAGCGTTCGGGAAATTACGACACATCTTCTCGTCAGGTATACCTCAATCTCTGAAAACTAAAGTGACAACCAGTGCTTGCCAGGGATCTGAGACGTGGTCCTTCACTGCTGGCCATATGAGGACGCTCAAGATCGTTCAGCGAGCTATGGAGAGGGCTATGCTCGGAGTTTCTCTGCGTGATAGACTCAGAAATGAGGATATCCGCAGTAAAACCAGAGTGACCGACATAGCCCAACGGATTAGTAAGCTGAAGTGGCAATGGGCCGGCCATATAGCTCGAAGAACCGACAACCGATGGAGAAAGGTCTCTCGAGTGGCAGCCTCGTACCGGTAGGCGTAGTGTAGGGCGACGCCCCACTAGATGGAGTGACGACCTGGTAAGACATGCAGGAAGTCGATGGATGCAGGTGACTCAGGACCGTGCTTTGTGGCATTACTTGGGGGAGGCCTATGTTCAGCAGTGGACTTGTGAAGGGCTGTAATGATGATGATAATGATGATGAAGGCTTAGCACGCACTGCGATTAAACGCGAGCGGTTTAGGAATAGCTGAAAACGCAAAACCGCATACGATTACGCACTGAGGCTGGAGTTTGGCTTAATTTTATTTCAGTACCACCATGGATTTCGAGCAATTAGCATGTGTAGTCGCTTTGGCATTTAAATTAAAAAAAATAGAAAACGTAAACAACGGCGCTACCATAAGTACTGGGTACATCCACTAACAGATAAAAGACATCTGTAAGGATACTTTTGCAAAATGTACAACGACGTGGAACAACATCCCGATAAGTTTTTTAATTACCACAGAATGTCGATTGGTACTTTTGATAAATATATTACAAGCTATGGGCCAGTATATACAAAATGTATACACTGTATTTCGTAAGAAGATATCACCTGAAGAGTTGAATAAAAAGCGAACGCGGTTAAGCGCAGTGCGTGCGCCGCCATACTATTACGGACACATAAAAATCGCGCGTTTACAAACTGCGATCGAAATGTAGCAAGTTACGTTTTTAAAATCAGTCACTGAAAAAAATCGCTAACGCGTGCGCTTGTATAGAAAGCTTTGTGTTACATTTTTTTGCGGTTTCAGACGTGCGGTTAAACGCGTGCGTTTAATCGCAGTGCGTGCTAAGCCTTAGAGCCGATTTACACTTCGACAAGTACAGTAGCGAGTTTAGTTACAGGGCAGTTGACAGTAAACGGTTAAGTGGGCAGTAGCGTTCAAATGTCTTCGTGGCGAGTTTAGTTAAAAAAGTACAATTTTATATTTTGAGTGTCGAACGCGAACACGTTGCGTCATGTCAACTATGCACTGAACTAAACTCGCCCGTTCATACGAGCGGCGAGTTAAGTTGCGTGTGGCGAGAGACGCGCAGGAGAGCAATATTTCGAACTTAACTCGTCGAAAAATCTATTCCGTTCAACTTAATTGCTACTTGCTACTCAACTCGCTAATCGCCGTTCAAACGAGATTATCTACTTAACTTGCCAGGCTCGCAAGTTAACTAGCTACTGTACTCGTGCAAGTGTAAATCGATCTTTATAAGAAGTAACTGAGGCTACATTTATTTTAGAATAATAATAAGAGCGCCGCACAGAAAAATTTAAAACGTATGAATTCCGAACTAGATTCCACGCGGACAAAGTCGTCCTGCGTTAAATAAATAATAAAATTTTTCATGGTTCCAACAATGTTTGGTTTTGATTCCCTGACACATTATGATATGATTTTTTTTATAAACTTTAGAAACAACAGTACCAGAGATAACTGAAAAACCTCAGAAAGAACCACAAGTAGCACAAGAGGTGGAAACGCCGCAAGAAATCGTTCAAGTAAAAGAAGAAGTCAAAGAGCAGGTAGAAGACGTAGAAAAGAAGGAGGTAGAAAAGAAAGAGACAGAAGTGGCTAACGTAGAAGAAAAGTTGACAGAGGACATTAAGAAGGATGAAGACGCTGAGGTAAAAATGATTTTGTTTACAGTTTTGCAGTCATAAAAGAAACGTCATTTACCCTTTTAAGTGCATTCTCGGTGGTGAAGGAAAACATCCCAATCTAAATCTAAATCATAAGTAATTTACAGGTTACAGTTACAGGTAAAACTATAATTTCACAGAATATCAGCGTGAAATAGCCGCTTAGTGCTGCTGTGTTTCTCTAAATAGTATAAAACAAAGTCGCTTCCCGTCGTCTGTATTTTTTTTTAATAGAAAAATGGTGAAAAACCTTAGACATCTACATTTATTCTCGATTAAAAATCAAAACGCGGATGCATTGTTACCCCTGAGGACTGAGATTGAATGCCTCGTTTCCAGTAAAAAATTGTCTCCGGATCTCTACACTCACCATACGAAACAGAGGTATTAAGCTGCTGTTTTACGCTGGTATTCTGTGAGAGCGTAGTCGGCAGCGTGGCTCTACCGCGTATAAAATTACTTGGGGTAAGTTCCAAAATAGAACCCAGTGTACTGTCCAATGCAAATGACGTCATAAATTGACGCCATACTGTTGATTCGTTTCAAAACATTTGACAGTATGTTGACAATCACATATACATTTGCGTCATTATTTTGTCATTTTGTGCTCCAAAAGTCATTATATCCTCCTAATGGAGCTAGAACTAGCAATTATTCTATAATTTTTTGTATTTGAATAAATAAAAACAAATTCTGGCGTGCTTCATTCAGCGTACACACAATTAAAAATTGTTTTATTATGGCCGGATATTCGACACAATATGGCGACGGAACGCCAGCACAATATGGTGTCAGTGACGTTATTTGTATTCGGCAGTATACTGGAAACGTTTCGGAATATACCCTTGAACTACTGTACGCTTAGATCTTTTAAACTTCGCAACGGATTTTGATGATATTTTTTTCGTTTTCATTTGAGTGGGTCCCTGGATGGCTTAGATTTACAATTGGATCCGCTAGGTGGCGCTGTTGTCTAGATACAGAAATCAGCCGTGCAAAGCCGGGGCAGATCACTAATCAAGGATAAATGTAGGTCTATGAACCACAGCGTCCATGATCTATAGTGATCTAACTCTATTCTTAGGGTGAGCTATAGTTCTCGCTTTGCATGATGTATTCATCAGTGGCTGACGAGGTCCATACCTGCTCCAAAGCAGCTTTAGGGTCGATCCTCATTATAATGCCGTTCTCAGTTCGTTCTCGATCTCTCCGATCTCGGTCTGATATAGTATATTTCATTACGAGTGCGGAAAGCCTGTCATTCCAAAGAGTTCCAACAAATGTCTATGGTTGACAGTCAGAACAAGTTGCAATGATGGTTCCGCACGTGTACTGAACAACTATTTTTTTAATACAATTGCGAAAAAATGAAGCAATTTAACAAAAAAAAAAACATTTTTGGAAAATAGCGTCAACCATAAAAGAATTTAAGAAGAGATTTTTTTTGTTTTCTTCACCCATTCTGGGTAGGCAAAGGAAACTATGCCCATACAGCCAAGTCTTCAGTAGAATTTTTTATTGATATAAAATGAAAATGAAATTTAATGAGATGAAATGAAATGAAACCTAACCAAACTCATTGAATCAGATCATTAAATCTGATATTGAAACAAATTAGTAGCTTCTGTTTAGAAATATTTGCTTGAATCATAAAAACTTGTATGAGTTTTTTTTTAGTAAAAACTTCGTGGTTGGCTTTTTCTTTTTAATAGACGTTATTTTGACAGTTGGGAAAAAGAACACACGAGTTCGGAAAAGCTAAAGAAAAAGATCGAGTATGTAATAGCCCAAATCCCGAACGCTATACGTCTCTGCAATACGCCATTTTTTGAGCAACTGTATTAAAAAATATTATCAAGTAAAAAGTATGTGTGCACTCGTACTATCCGTAACAGACAAGTGTCGCTCGAATCCCATTCCAATAATATAATAAATCAGCCCAAGATCGGACCCAGAACGAACTGTAAGCAAATGAGGATCGGCCCTTAAGCTCCTAGTTAACGCTGGTATTCTGTGAGAGTGTAATCTATGTTTGTTTTTAAAGGATTCAATACCGCTGAAGGAGATGCTAAAGGAAGAAGCACCAGCAGCCACTGTACAGGCTGTAGCGGAAACAGGAGCGGGCGCGGCAGCGGAAGCGGAAGAGAAGAGCGAGCGGCCTGTTGACACGGAAGATGCCCACACAGAAACGGACGATGACACGCCTATGGAAGTGAGTAATATTAATAATAATAATATAAATAGTTCTATAATCCTCCCATATAAGCAAGCACAAGTGCACTCTATTCACTCACTCTCATAGTTCAATGAGACTGCAATCCGACACGATCGGAGAGAGATCAGGCGCAAGACCAACCGCTTTACGTGCTTTCCGATTTACGCGGCGGTGATACATCGCCAACTTCCTTGCTTCGGGCTTGCTAATGAGCAGTTCTTAACAGAAAAACTCAAAAACTGATTAAGGCTCTACCCGGGATTCGAACCCGGACTTGAGAGTACACTGAGCCTTGAGACTGAGAGTATAAAAATACTGCCAAGAGCATTGAAGTAATATGTACTGGAACAGACCACGAACAAAATATGTGCGGCATTGCGGCTTGCTATGAATCACAGAGTAACTTTATGGTACAGAGTAATTAAGTTTGAGCTCGCGGGGGCGTCTCTTCTAGTACGTAATACATAGTATAATGCTCGAGAACCGTCTAATGCTCAGGAGATAGCTAGAGTCCTAACCTACCTATGTATGGAACTATAATATATAAATAAGTATAAGCATTCGGGTTGAGGTGAACTGATACTCCACAAAAATGTGCAAAAAATTAAAGACCACACCACTGAGGCATTTTTTGTGTATGCACTAGAAACCAACAATTTTCAGACAGAAAAAGACGCACACGAGAACAACCAGCCCAAAAACCCCTTTTTTTATTTAATTTTTTTTAAAGAAAAAACTATTAAAAACTAGTAATAACAAATATTAGGTTAGTTAACTAAATTGAAGAAAGCGAGCACTATGTGCCAATTACTTTACCATAGGTTATCTGAAAGAAATTGCTGCATAGCAATAAGTGTTTAAAGTTATTTTACGTGGTAGAGCCATGCTGCAGTTATATTAGTAGTATAGTTGTAGCACGAATAGGTCGGCTCGACCGTGGAAGGACAGCGCTCTCGCAGAATACCAGCGTCAAATAGTAGCTTAATGCTGCTGTGTTTCGTATGGTGAGTGTAGAGAACCGAAGACCCTTTTTACTGGAAAAGAGGCATTCCATCTTAGTCCTCGCGGGTAACAATCTGCATTTTTGGATAAATGTAAATTTCTATGGGCCACAGCAACCACTTACCAACAGGTGGACTGTGTGCTCGTTTGTCACTATATCCTATAAAAAAGACTGCCTTTTGTTTTCTCTTTGTTTGTATCTTGTTATGTTATTTGTTTTCCTAGTGTACAATAAAGGGTATTATATTGTAGTGCCCAACTAGCGACATCTAGTGAACAGAAAATAATTAGACCCTATTAACAGAAAGGATTTTACTTTTCCTCCTTTGACATTCAGGCTTATGTGGATCAAGATTGATCAGTCTGATTCTATCACAGCCCACACGAGAGCGATCGAGTTACAGTTCTCAAAAAGATTTGGTCGTTTTTAACCCGCGCGTTGCTGATTTTTTCCTTTTCGTAAGACGCGGGGCTACTCATATAATTCTGTACTTACTATATAAATGTTTAATTTACATATTGTGAACGATGATCTATGATGGAAAAATGATTGAATGATTTTGACCAGATAAACCCCAGTGGGTCACGATCGACCGCCGGTGGGTTACGATAGTCCTCCAGTGGGTCACGTTCGACCCAAGTTTAAAGCCTACTTTTCACTATGGGATAATATAATTTATATTACATCTCCAGATATAAATTAATATCTCTCGCCTTACTTTTATGGAACCGTTTACACTGAGATGTAATATATACATATTACTTCCAAAACTATTAATATATTTTCGATCGACCGAACGATATTGTCACATTATATTTCGCCCCCGCACACCTTTCCGCGCCTCTGCTACGTCCTCAAATCGTTCAATGACGAACGCACACTGGATATAATATATATTATATCCCATAGTGAAAAGCCAGCTTAAACAAATGATCGATTGACACAGGCCTAAATGGATTCTCTTAATCACCACACCGCACTGCCTAGGCTACCCCCACTGTAGAAACTAAACCAGCACTGTAAAATTTAAGGCACTTTATAATGTGAACTTCGATCATGGACTGCAACTCATCTTTTTTGTTACAGTTGAGCCGTGAAGAAGAAAAGGACGGGAAAAAGAAAAGAGATTATTCACGAAAGAAAAAGTCTGAATCAAGGAGTAAGTTCTTTTATAATTCACTAAGCCGTATAATCTCGTGGCTGTTCTACGAGGCGACAGAGGGAGAGCTAGGAAGGAGAAGGGTACCAACATCTTTCTAGTTACCATTATAGCCTATCAAAAGGCCTCCCCCATAAATTGGCTTATATTGTGGGTTATTTGCCATACATGCCACTCTTGCCAGGCGGATTGTCAACAGCAGCTTTTTTATCTTTATTTGTTATTAGAAGACTCTGCTGCCCATAGAATACTATAATACATGCATAATAGAACGGGGGGGAGTGGGAGGAGCCCGTGTAGCCACTAAAATGTCACTAACACGTCAATTCACACGTATAAATGTCAACACGACGTGTGTTTTGACGTTACAATCGTTTCCAAATTGCCCATGCAAATTATTTAGAAAATGTTAAATATTTATTAAAGTTAAACGATTTTTTAATGATGATCTTGAACATTAATCAAATGTTTAATATCTGTAATTTTTTTCTGGCAACACAGCGAATCGGGTTTGTAGTAGTGATAATACGACTTAATTGCTTGTATGTGTGCTCCCGGTGACACCAATCCTCGTCCAAAATAAGGTTGAGCCATTATATTGTGTATTAACTCCAATAATAGGATACGCAACGAGGCTCAAGTGAGAGCCCGGAAAACAAAACTTACTCCACATAAGGATTATTATAGGGAACTAAAATCAATAGTTAATAAAGCGATAGTTTCAGAAAAGATTGCCTACTTCAAATTTTATATTAATTCAAAACTAAATCAACCTAAAACAATGTGGAAGCACATTAAACGCCAAGTTCAAATAAAAAGTAAGGATACTTCTTTGCCATCCCATTTCAGTGACCCTGATGCTTTAAACAATCATTTTCTTAATATTCCTGGTAAAAATGACGTCTCATTGTCTCTTCTCACTTTCTTTGAATTTAATGGCACTAATGATAACTCTTTTTATTTTAAAGAAGCCTCGGAGGATGAGGTGGTTAAAGTTATAAACTCTTTGCAGTCTAATGCAGTGGGGTGCGATGGCATTTCTCTTGATATGTTAAAGTTATTACCTAAAGATGTTATTACAGAAATAACATACATAATTAATAAATCTTTTGCGACAAATACCTATCCGGATCTCTGGCAAAAAGCCATCGTTAAACCTATACCAAAACTAGTAACCCTGTTTGTATGTCGGATCTCAGGCCAATTAGTATTCTACCGTGCCTTTCTAAAATAATAGAAAAGCTTGCATGTAATCAGCTAACAAAGTACCTTGAAGCAAATAACATCCTTCCTGAGCTGCAGTCTGGCTTTAGAAAGAAACACAGCACTACCACAGCGCTTATAGAGGTCGTGGATGATATACTGACTGCACAAGCTAGTGGTGAGGGTACTATTTTAACATTACTTGATTTCTCGCGCGCCTTTGAAACCCTCAATATCCCATTACTTCTTTCAAAATTATATTTTTATGGTTTAAGCAGAAACGCAACCCAATGGTTTGCCAGTTACTTTAAAAATAGATCACAGCAAGTTGAAATACAATTAAATGGAAAAGGTAAAAGGTATTTCTGGGGAACGCCCTGTGAACCGAGGAGTACCGCAAGGATCCATTTTAGGCCCCTTACTTTTTATAATATATAGTGCGGACATTATTAAAAATATAGAGTATTGTAAGTACCACATGTACGCTGACGACTTACAGATATATATATCGTTTAAGCCTTGTGATGTTCAAGTAGCAGTGACAAAATTGAACTTGGATTTGGGTCGGATATCTTTGTGGTCAGAGCGTAACGCATTGGTTCTCAATCCAAAAAAGTCGCAGTACCTTATTCTAGGATCGCCAAATCAAATAAAAAAGATCACACTAAGCCACCCTGCCATTATTGTAAACAACGAACCTATTGTGAGGGTCACTGAAGTCAGAAATTTGGGGGTAATAATGGACGACAAACTTCGTTTTGAGAAACATGTAATGGATATTGCACGTAACTGCTTTTATAGGTTGAAAGTACTTTACCGTATTCGCGAGTACCTAAGTGTCACCTTACGTATACATCTCTGCGAGTCTATCGTGCTTTCAAAATTCAATTACGCGGATTCTCTCATAGGCCCACGACTATTATCTCGAACACAGCAAATAATACAACGGGTACAGAATGCCTGTGCACGCTTTTGTTTCAATGTACCACCACGTGCACATGTAACCCCTTTCATTAATAACGCTAATATTTTAAAAATGGACTGTCGCAGGCGACTACACTTTGCCTCACTTCTGTTTGGAGTTATTAAAAATAAAGAATCATTATATTTATATAATAAGTTGATTTGGTCTGAAGATCAAAATAAGCAGTATAATACCAGATCATCCAATTACAAGTTAGTATATCCTTTCTACCGGTCGGCCGCTTTCAGAGGTAGTTTTAAATATAATGCCACTAAATGTTGGAATAATCTCCCGCCTCCACTGCGTGACCTGAAAACAATTAGTGGGTTTAAAATCAAATACAGGTTACACTTACTTTCGGAACAAAAAAATACCGATCTATAAAATAAACTGGTAGGAGGTTAAGTTCTTTCAACACGTCAGTAATCTCAGTCCCATAAATTATGTAGATATTTTTAATTTTCACTTTATATAATATATAAAACTATTTTATTAAAATATTTATATAATAAATTTACTTTTTCTGACAATCATTTTCTTACCTTTATTCTTTAGCCAACGTTTATTCCGCATTCTTAATAAATAAAATTGATATATTTAGAAGGAGAAGGTTAATTCTATTTTGTACTTACCTTCATTAGACTAATGATATCCACTATTTATGTGAATTAAAATTTAAAAACATATATTTTTTATATACTCCGCGTCGCATTATAGCATGTGCATTGAGGCAGCCGTCCGAGTTACGTCGGAGTGCGGGCCGGACTGAAAACCAGTGTCGGGATCAGAGCAATTCGTGTTTCTGTATCTCGATTTTTACTGAGTCCTGTCCATTTCACGGTCTTATGCTTATGCTACACAGACTCATTTTATATTATTTTTACATTTTTGTTAATTTAATATTGTTTTATTTTCTGTTTAATTCCAATTTCTTGCTTTGTTTTATATCTATTGTGATTAGACCGTGAATAAATGTTTTTTCTTTCTTTCTTCTTTCTTTCTATTATAGTATTCTATGCTGCTACCAAATTCTCAGTTTATATCCCTCTGACGCCCCTTACGACACACGTGGGACGATATGGGGTTTTGGCTATTCTTACACCGTGATTCTACGGTTATTGGTATACAGGCTGTAATTTATATTATATATAAAGTACCCGGTTGACCGAGCTTTGCTCGGTATTTTTAGCTTAGCTAGGTTTTTTTTTAATTCGTGTGTTTTGGAAATTATATTTAGATACAAATTACATACTGATAAAATACGAATAATATTTTTTGATCTTAGCGACATAATAGAAAAAACTGAACTGGTTATTTGAATAAAAAACCATGAGTGCAATTAGTTTAATTTAAATTTTCGTGTTTTTAAAAAATACTAAAAGAAGGGCTCGAAAAAAAAATGGATTTTCTCAAAAAAGAAAGGAACTTGAAAAAAAAAAATTAAAAAAAGTCGGTCGGTCGATCTGGGCTCGAACCATGGTATTACGATTTTGTGACCGCCCAATATACCAATTAAGCTATTTGTAATCATTAATAAACTGTCAAAATTTACCTTCTTATTCTAACGATATTGTAGCAGTTTTTCATTGCCTAAAAACACGGACAAAAAAGACATTTTCTAAAAATAAATCCTATCTATATCTAGCTAGATCGATTTATTACCCCTGAAACTCCATGCACACAAAATTTTATGAAAATCGTTGGAGCCGTTTCCGATATTCCGAATATATATATATATTATACAAGAATTGCTCGTTTAAAGGTATAGGATTTGTAGAAGTCGTCTTCAGTACTACAGTGCAAAAATCTTTGCACTTGCCTATTTAAATTATCTTGTTCCTTATTTGGAGCTCCGTTCTTTAACTCAACTATCTAACTAAAAATACTTGCCAAATACTTCATCATCGTCATCATCATTACAGCACATCTCAAATTCTCCACTGAACATAATTCTTTCCCAAGAAATGCCCCAAAGTACGTTTCTTAGCCAGCTTCATCCATCATCCTCCTGCATCTCTTCCCAGATCGTCACTCCATCTAGTGGGTTGCCGCCCTCCACATCGCTAACCGGTATGAGGTTGCCACTCGAGAACCTTTCTTCCCCATCAGGCTTCGGTTAACTGATCCGTTGGCTTATGGCGGTTACTCTGTTTCTACTGTGGTTGTCCTCATTACGAACTCTATCGTGCAGAGACATTTCAAACAAAGCGCTTAAGTTTCCTCATAACTTTAATTTTTGGAATTGAAAACTTCTTTAGCGACGTTGTACACTGAAATTTATGCTGTTTCGTTTAGTTGTGTACGAGAGCGCTTTAGTTTTAGTTTTATACTGATAATTAAAGCAATTCGTGCAAAATTATTCCCTAACCATTCCAAAATATCAAAAATGCACAATGTTAATATTCAAGTTTTCACTTCTGCCGGCACTCCCGGAGTGCAACCCGTCGTTTTTTTTATAGGATAGGGTGACATACGAGCACACAGTCCACCTGATGGTAAGTGGATGCTGTGGCCCATAGACATATATATCTATTCTCGATTAAGAATCAAAATGCAGATGCGTTGCCACCCTTGAGGACTAAGATGGAATGCCTCGTTTCCAGTAAAAACGATCTTCAGCAGCATCGAGCTACTATTTTACGCTGATATTCTGTTACAGCGTGGTTCATCAGGTCGAGTCAACCCATTAGTGCTACGTCTGTAATGCAACATGGCTCTGCCACGTAAAATAACCACGTAAAAATACTCTTCCAGCTTGTTCTGGATCCGAGAGCGCTGCAGAAGCGAGTGCTCCAGACTCTCCCAGCGCTAATGATGCGGAGAGACAGCATCGGCTATGGCGGAAGAGCGTTATGCTGGTTTACAGCAGGTAACTAAGATTGAGTGTCCAGCCGACTTCGAATAAGTAGGTCCTTAAATGAGTAGAGCATTTTACGCGATATTTCCATAAAATTCATAATCGATATAGGTATCACGTATCATTTGACCGAACGTAACATTTCACTGAACGATTAATCGAGTAAAATTGCACTGAACGATTAATCGCGTAATATTACACCGAACGATTGATTGCGTAACATTCCACCGAACAATCATTTAATTACTAATCGCGTAACATTCCACTGAACGATTAATCGCGTAACATTTTACTTAATCGATTTTAATTATTCTTTGTATTAAATAGGTTCTTACAATAAATAATTCAGGGGTGATTTCATATGGTTTTGAAGAAGAATTACATCCATTAGCGTGTAACATATGGGATGAAGTGTTTAATGTTAGTTACGTTAGATAGATAAAATATTGTGTAGAAATTATTTTGTTGTTTTTTGTTCTTTAAAGATGTCTTCGACGTCGTGGTTTTATTTGTGACCGTTTTGACTGAATTAAGTAATATCCAAATCTCAGTGTAAAAGGATATTAACTTACTTTTTTTGGAAGTGGGTTAAAATAAATTCTCGTTTAAGGTTGTGCGCACACAAGTACGCGTCGCTGTTCCTGCGGCCGATAAGCGACGAGGAAGCCCCCGGATACAGCATGGTGGTGAAGAGACCAATGGACCTGACTACCATCAGGAGGAACATCGACGCTGGGGTTATCCGGTGAGTTTAAATGTTTTATGTCGCCTACGTAACCATACATCTATCTATCACAGCCTATAAAAGTACACTGCTGAACATATCCTCCCCCCATAGTATGCCTCATAGGGGGGATCTAGCTATAGGT